ACTTGTTTAAGTCAACATGCGAGTTAATTATGTTAACATGCAAGATATCCATGTCAACATGTAAATTGACATAAATTTCTTGCATGTTGACAAATTTTACTCGGATGTTGACATAAATAAGTTGCATTTTAACAAAAATAAGTCGTTTGTCCACATAATTTTATCGCCTTCTACATAATTATATCGCAAATCAACATAATTATATTGTATCTATGATGTCAGAGACTGGCATTAGTAAGTATTTACCCATGTTAAAATCAGATTCTCTTCAAAAGATTTGTAACTTGCATGTCAAAATAATTATATTGCATGTTGACATACCTTTCTTGCATGTTGACATAATTTATCTTGCATGTAGGGGACAAAAATATGTCACCACATTAATTAGTATATAATTTTTAATCTGATTAAATATTATTATACCGATAGTAATTGTCGTATAATCATTTTTAACTTCAGATTGTGTATGTGTATATGTAAATTAATAAACGACACTGTTATATTAATTGCGTTTTATTTTGTAATTTTGGGAATTTATCAATTCATCACAAAAAGTCTGGGTCAAACTGTGTGTTTTTCCCCATGTCACCTTTTCGTTTTTAGTGTACAATCATATACTTGTTTGTTTTGTTTGTTCGAGGGAATTGTATTGACATAAATATCACATAGGAATAAAAAAATGAGAAGCAAGACACAGTTACATGAGGAAAACACGATTTTAAGAACAGAAATACAATATACATTACCTTTGTTTACAGATACGGATGAAGTTGAATTTCTTTGATGTGGAGAGGTTGGTCTAGCTATATAGATAGGGAACCAAAAAAAAAAAAATTGTCAGATATAAAGTATTCTGTAAGTATAAAAGTTTCTATAAAAAATATGACGCTAGCTGCTCACCTATTAAGTAAATTATAATTTTAATAGAGATACTGTGAATCATTAGTTTTCTGGGGATTTAATTTGAGTTGTTTTAGTGGTATATTGAGACACACGAATTCATGTCCTTCACGATATATTAAAATTTCAAATTACAGGATTATATTTCTTCTTCAAATACGAAATAAGATCCCTCAGGATGGAATATTTTTCCCTAAATCAAGCCCCGATTTGATCTCAAGAAATTAAATGTGATTTTACAGTAAGTCATTGGATAAAATGCTTATGCTATGCTCATAATGCAAATCAGGTACATGTATAAATCAGAGAATTTTTGTTTGTTTGGACATTTCTTAAAAAATAATTTAATGTTTCAAAGAAATCTCTCTCTCTCTCTCTCTCATAAAGTGTATGTTTAAGATCGAGAATTTGTTTAATTCAACGATCTTCCAATTTGTCAAAAAAAAATTTTACAATGTACACAATGGTTTGAAATGGAAAATTACTACCACGACAAGAAAAGTTGAAATCATGTCACAAAGAAATTATTTAATCTGGACACCGAACAGAGAAAGAAAATGGGCTAACAAGTATTAAGAATGCCTATAGCTTCAGATATATAAAAATAATATTCATTCAATTTGTGAATTTAGTTTTAATTTAGGTAAAAGTTCTTATTATTGAATTTTTTGAAATTATGACAAACAAAAATTTTTCTGAGAAAAATTTTCTCGGCAAAAATTATTCTATTATTAAAAAAATAATGTGGTATTCTTGGGATTCGAACCCTATCAATAAAAATCCTAAGAATCATTTTTCCTTTGAGACTACCACGCTAACCATTCTACATAACTCCTGACAAATCATTGCATTTAAATCATGCTTGTGATATGACCCTTGACAAAATGGACAAACTATTTTTCGGAATTGCAAAAATGCTACATGTATGTCATAAAAGAGTATTTTCAAAGTAAAGTGGGTCTTTGCTCCATGTTTTTGTTAGTCAAAAATTGTAAATTTTTACAGATAAACTTTCAAAAAAAAAAAAAAAAAAAAAAAAGGAGCGAAGGCCCATTCATGTGGAAAAAAACCTTAGTTAGAATGTAACAAATTGATCCTTTTTGCAATCTTTGGTGTGTGTAAGATATTTCATAGGCAAATAATTTCAATCTTTGTGAGATTTTTGCGAATTGTGGAGATTTTACGTAAAGTACATGTATACCTTAATGTTAGATGAAATATCAAAGAAAAATTTCTTATAACTGAGATGTAATTTTTCACCTTCATATTTGTCGTTCCATGGGCATTTTGCTCACCTTGTTCGTTCATCTTCTTTATTAATATCAAAGATATACACTGATGTTCATAAATAAATATATATAGTTAAATTTAAGTATTAACCGAATATAATTAACCGAATTAAACGAATGTAATTATCATTCAGTTTTGTAAAAAAAAAAAAAAAATTACTCCTGCAAACAACAGGTTTAACTTGCTTGATTGTAATGTCTTTTATATTGGTGATTTTTTTTAATTCAAGGGAGGTAGGGAGGGGTGGGTAAAATTGTCTGTGTACGTCACAAAATCCTTTTGGGCTTTAATGTGACGGGGCGCATTTAGTCGCCATGCAGCGCAGAATTGAAGCTTTTCTGGCTTCGGGGCGCGGGCTACTTTCTCTTCCATCTAGTTCCAGTCGGTTGCAGTGCGAAAAAACCATATTGTTCAGTTTTTGAGCATGGTATTTCTACTCTTCTAATAAGATAATCTTTAAATATTTTAGCTCGGATGTTAAAAGATTGTGAATTAAACAACAAATAATATACACATACACATGTAAATAAGAAACAACAATAAAGCAATGGCAATACCATTGTGTTTTTGTAGACATATTTATCCATTATTTAGGATTTTTCTCCACATGTTTTTATTCATGGTAAATATAAGTCAATGAAAATTGAAGAAAAAAATAAATAGAAAAGTATTCTGCATCATACCTACAAATGTGCGATTAATGTTTAATCTTTCCAAAATTGTATTTTCTTTTCCTTGACAAACTTCCCTGGCAAGAGACAGAACAAACTTCTGGAACAGGCATTCTTCCTCCGAATCCGAGTCCGAATCTGTCAAAGAAAAAAAATCGTATGTAATAAAACCTCAACCTGAATTATAACAATAATTATTTGCTAGAAACTTTGTAAACACACTAATAAATCAAATTAAAACAACCGATTAGTTTAAGCTGAAAACATTACCGGTTATCCAATTTCTTATAAATTAATATTACAACAATATACTATGCAACTGCATGCTAAATAAATAATCTAAAAGGCTATGGCAATGTTCTTGAAATTCACATTTGTTAAAATATATTTTGTTTAAATGTATTACATACCTGTACAAGGTTCAACAAATTCTACTGGGTCTTCACCAGAAGTGGAAAAATAAGTCTTTACAGCTCTTGCACCAAACCCAGGCATTTCACTGTTCCCTGTGCATTGTACCCTACATAAAAACGTCATATGAAAAAGCACAATTCAACGAGAGAGAGAGAGAGAGAGAGAGAGAGAGAGAGAGAGAGAGAGAGATTTGTTTTAGATTTGATCAAGAAAATTGCTGTAACACAGATTTAATTGAAAAAAAAAACTAAGCAATTTTTTTTAAATAAATATAAAAAGGAAATATCTTTTTCCTTTCTTCAATAAAAAAAATTAGAAACAGGGATTCTGAAAATCAAATGTAGATTATTCATACTTACTGAAGTGAGAACCTGTCTATCGGAGGTACCGGCAATGGAAGTACCATATCACAAAGGGGGAGAAATAAAAGCAAACCTGTAATTAATTCATTACATCGTGCGCATGAATGCAGCATAATATAACATACTATTTAAAATGTAAGTAAGTTAAGACTCCTATTAATTACCTTTCACTGATTTCAAAGTGTTTCACATTGTGAATATTCAATACATGTATCATTCGATGGAGAATCGAATGATCATGAAAAGAAACTTTCTTTTAAGATGTTTTTTTTCTTTTGCATTACAATCGAGTATTTGTCAATTGGGTAGAATTTATTTGTTCAAATACAATATATGTGCACATGGTTACCACTAGGAGAAATGTGAAAATATATATCCTTACCCACAGTATTCCTCTTTCTAAACATTATGTTTTAACTATCCTCCCCAGCTGATTTGATATAATTGTTTTATACAGTCACTTATATTCACTAAGAGGTCAATTGCACTTGGATTACTTCCTTTGTTATTCAGTACGTATCTGATGAATAATGGTGGTCATTGCTCAAAAAAGACATTGAGTCACTTCATTTGAAAATACGGGAAATACAGTTAAAATAGAATATGTGATCTCCTTAAGTCTCTATCTCATACTGTAAGTATGGTTTCCTATTTTGACTGATAAATATAAAAATCTCGCATCCCCATACACTTATAAACAAGATTTTTTTTGATAAAAGGGATACTTGATCAATATATTCCCTTCACGCCTGTAAAAATATTAATGTGAATATTTTGTTAAATTACAAAAGCCTAGAATAATTGCCGGACTTCCTCGAAGGCCCAACTGGTTGCGGGGAATTTCGGGTTTTGAATATGGTGTAACCATAGACATAAAGCATCGTGTAACTTTTCGTTACAATCAACTTGAAGATGACCCTTTCTCCACACATGAAGATACAAGCTCATTAAAATAGTTCCTTATTATCATTATTTTTTTTTTTTTGGGGGGGGGGGGGGAGGAGGTAGTCATCCGACTTAGAAATATTTTGAAGAAAAAAAAATGTCCGGATTCAAAAAATATATATTGAGCCCTCTACCAAAATTGTGATATTCATGACCCCGGGGTCAATTTGGTGGGGACACTTCTCATGGACAAGCTGATTTCCTTCATATTTGACTTTTAATATCATATAAGGGGTCCTTTTTTCTTATTGGTTGTCCACGGTGATTTTTTTTTTTTGAGTAAAAAATGTAGTTAAAAATCCGAAGGGGTCCGGATCTCCCGGTATCCCCTCCCGTTAGATCCGCACGCGTGTTAATTCCAAACAGCACGGGCTCGAAGTACGAATAAATCAAAATTCCAAAAACATCAACAACTTTTTCAGTTTCTGTGTGAGAACTGACGGACAAAGGAATTTTCAACCTTTTGGGGTGACCAGTGTATAAAGATATCTTTTTCATTTTGCTGAACCAAAACCAGTGTACAGGTGAAACATTTATATATGTTTTCATTGTTTTATCTGAATGATTTACTGGCATATGGAAGGAAATTATTTGTTTCCTGTCTCGCTGTGCCAATCCCTCAAAAATACATTTTCTTCAAAATTTGCTTTCCAACACCATATAGAATATTTTATTGAGCACTTGTAAGCACACAAAATATATGTCTGGCTACGTATTACAGCTTTTTTCAACACCAGTTAATTATAGGCCTAATCAGTGCTGTGTGTAGAGAAGCCTACATCCACTCTTTCTTTATTACTTTAAGTTTTACTATACAGTATGATACAAGGAGAAATGGTACAGAGATGAGTAATTTACAGGAAAACAATGTATACGTACATAAAAGTAACAATTATTCAAATACAATATTACCAATTTGCCTTATGCTGTGTACTTGCCAAGGTTATACACATATCCTTAAAATTCTCAGTATTAACAATTGCAGATTTTTATGCTTTGATGTTCTAAGGATTATGTCATTTTAAACTAATAACTCCAGATCTACTAACTTAGTAAATATAAATCTTAAGAGACAAACATTAGTGCAGGAATTTAATTGTAATAAATGAATAAAATCAAATGCACTATATCTTGTGTTTTACACTGTGATATGTATACGCGAGCCAACGACAGAGGTGAATGTACAAGTATGAGCCGATGGTAGAATGTTTTTTTTTTTTAATATTTCTTTATAAATTTTCTTCTATAATCTGCATATGCAGAACATAATAATAGTATAAAATGGTATTCATCCTCAATACAATTTGGCATGAAAAACAATTAATTCCTGTGTGCTTTGATATTTTGTTATATCTTTAGTTTCAATGGCTAAAAAGTGTGAGGATAGTCTCAACTTAATAAGAGACATTTTTAAAACCTAGCAGGAATTGATTTTCTTAAATAATGCTGTAGATAGAATTCATCAATTACATATTTATAAAATGAACATTTCTGTGAACTTTCAATTTTAGCAAATAATATTTGTTGTTTAGTCTGATCCAAAATCATTTGCTTAATGACTTTTAAGGTAGCTGTATTGAATTGTTGTTGATTCCAAGCTTCACCATTTACAACCAAGTTCATTTAAGCATTTCTTCATCTGAGAAGCCGTTTTTGTGTTCATGGAATTTGCTGTTAAATATTTCCTCATCATGCTCGTAGCAATTTCTAATGATGCAATTATCACTGGCTAATATGTTACTCAAAAATTTTGTTATTGCATAACAATTAACCTTTTCTAAATCAAAGGAAATCTATCAAATTTAGCATATAAACAGCTACATTACATGCAGATTTTCTATCTCCTAGTATTTCTTAATCTTTTTCATGCATTTCTGCACATAAGGTGGCAAAAAGGTCTCTTTAATTTGCAGTTTTGGTGTTGTTGTTCCAGTCATACCCTGTATCCTTTATTTCATTTGATGGACTTCCTTCATATCCTGTTTGGTCTTCAACACTTCTTCTTTCCAGGTGGTGTCCATTTCATAGCTCTTCTTGTTACATGCTCTCTATAGTCTATTAAGTACATGGCCCAAATAACTCCAGCATCTCTTCTTGATTTTTACATTTATAACTGTCATTCCTGTTCTTTCAGCCACTAACTCCTAGTACATGTATTTGCTTACAAAATCAAGATGAATTAAAAGTTTTTCAACATTGTCACTTTTACAAGTTTCTCAAAGCAAACAGTGCTTTTCTACCCTGGTCAGACAGGTTTTCATACTTTGCAAATTTATCATGATTATTGTTATAATGAAAAATAATCCTCAAATTTGTAATTTGTACAACAGATTTTAAAATGTCATTCCCATTGAGCCATTTTTTGCTAAGTTTGATTTTGCCATGCTGTGCATTACCTAAAGAAAATAAAATCCTTCTGAAAAATAATGTTGTTCTCTTTTTTCAGACTTTTCCTCTTGTTTACTAGGGCTGGGACAATACAACTTTTTCTATATTGGTATGTATCATGATATTTGAGCCATGATACGATATGTATCACAATATTTGGAATTGGTTATAAAATCTTCTTTTTATATTGAAATGAACAAAACATTTCGTCGAAAAAAGGAATAATTTATTCAAAAAGTTGTATACGTATCCATTGCAAAGCAAAATTATTTTACACAATTAGTGTTAATTATTATGTATTTCATAATTATATTTATATTTAGCATACTTATTTTTCTTATTAAACCCAAAATGCTAAGAAAACAAAGAAAATATGTCAGAATAATTTTTGGCGATATTTCATAATCTTTTTACATATGTATCAATGTGCGTGTCATCCTCACTCAGAATCGATATATCGTCCCAGCCCTAATGTTTACAAGGAATTATTTCTCATGGGTAAAAAGTATCCATACAAAAAAAAAATTATGTCATGTTTGTTTGAAAAACTCAGCATAAGTATGCAAATACATGTATGTGAATTGCAAAAATTACGTTTAATAAATAAATAAATATAGTTACAGTGTAGGTTGAGTAAGAAAGGGAAGTTAAGAGAAATCTAATTTTATTTCTAATTTATTGCTCTTTCAAGGAAGTACATGTATGTTTATCATCAGTGTTTATGTTGTTTATTTTGTTTATTATAGCTAACACACATTTAATATGATAATGATGTACATATAGGCATTCAATAAAACTCATTAGCCATTTGCATGTACTTGTATAAAGATTTAGAATTAATATTTTGATCAACAATCATGACAATACTATGTCATTTATATATATTTGAAATTTGAAAATTCAAATTGAAATATTCATTGACAATATGAGTAAAAAAGAAACCTTTTTTATTTAGACATAAACAGCAAAAATGTGGAGGATCCAGCAGTTACAAGTGTGTATGGTTTTGATGACATGCTGGTTGGCCTATGTTTTCTGTGATTCAGATGGTAAGTAAATAAGACAATGCCATGTGGATTTAGCAGTGTTTAAAATTACAAAATTATATTCACCATTGTTTTAATTTGTATTTGTTTTTTTTTTTTAAATCAAAAATTGCTTAACATTTTAATTTTGATATGTCTATATTCATTTGATTTATACACTGATAAATGTAATTGCACCATGTGCATAAAATAATTTGTATCTTTTAGCAATGAAGTTACTGATGAGAACGATGAGAAACGTTTTTGGTGTTAAAAAAAATAATCATGACTGTTTTTGATTTTGTTTGTTTGCTTTTTTAGTGTTCCGTTTACATGTTGCCCACCTCATTGTTTTGATACTAACATTTTCTTATTTTTTCAGATTTTGATTTTGACAGTTCAAACTCAGAGTTTGAGTCAAGTTACAAGTCAGTGAGGAATGCCACCATCTCCATTGCGTCAATAATTGGTATTATAACAGGACTGATTTTTCTTGGGATCGTTATTGCCATCATTGTTATATGCTGTTGTTGTATGAAAGGTAAGGACTTGTCACTTCTTATATAGTGATAATTAATTTAATATGATAAAAAAAAATCTCCTAGCTTGGTTAATATGAAATTTTAGTATAGTTTGTTAATGATAAAAGACCAAACAAAGACAGTTTGAAGCTATAAAGCAGTGATGCTGTCCACTTCTTCCATTTTGTAATTGTTTTGCTGATGACTGTAATGTGATAATAATAAAAGAAGTATGGTGTGTATATGTATATTGTTAAGGAAGTTCATGGCTTAAGGGAAAATGAATAATTTAATATAATGATAAAGTTGACATTATGGGCAACACATAAAACAAAATTCCAGGTTGTTTGACTAACTAATGTATTATTTTACCCTCCAGTGTAACAGCTAAATGTCAACATATACAACTGTATAAAGACTGGTATTGTTATAATCTTGCAATTTCAACAATTCAGTAGCTTTAATTTAAAAAGATATCTATAGCAAATTTCAAGATCAACAAGACTGAAGCACTAAAATTCTTTATGACATAGTAATCATGTTATTAATAATTGATATGACTATGGATCCTCATTAACAAAGAGTTGATGGTTGAAATATATATTTTATTGAAATTGTCCAATTATTCTCCTGTACTTCTTTTTTTTTTCTTTACAAACATCATAATAATTATTGTTATATGATTAGGACGACGATCAGCTGGCCATGTATACAGACAACCAGCAAACCAAATGACAGTCACCACCACAACACAACAGGCATACCCTGGACAGTATCCCCCTCAGCCCTACAATCAGTACCCTCAGAATCAGTACCCCGCTCAGGGGTATGTACAGCACCCACCCCCACCCCAGATGGGATACCCACCTGTCCAGCAAGCACCGCCTATGACAGGGTACGGCTATCCTCCACAGGACAGTAAAGCTGTACCCACAGGTTTGTACAATTACTGACATGAAATACATGTATTATGTAAGCTTTCCATTTCTTTTAAATGATACAATGCAATAAACATGATGGAGGATCTTCTTTTGATCTAATGGACAGCTTTTTTCTGCATATGTATACATGTAGTTACTATTTATTAAAATTGAGAAAAGTAGAGATAAACTGAGTGTTAGTATTAGAACCGTATGATAACATTAGATATTTAAAATATAAAAGTAGGCTTTCATCTTCAGAATAACACTAAAGGTGATTAACATGAATTGATATATTTTCTTCTCTGTGTGATTACTGTTAAAAACAAATGACTGACAAACAGAGTTTTCCAAATGTTAGTATTCAAATTGAGGGATATCATTATAGATATCAATATGAAAGTAAGCTCTCATATGTAATGCAACACTTAAATATGATAAACTAGAATTGATGAAGCATGTGTGTATAGGCTTACTACTTTATTCATGTAATTGACACAAAGTCAAAAATAAAAATTCTATTCAGGATACTATGCCTTCAATGCCCCTTAATTGGAATGAATATACACTTTTAAAAATCCTTAAATGAGGATCCATTAGATGGAAGTATAAATGTAATGTACATTTAACAAATGAATACAACACTATTGTATAATTATCATATAATTATGGTCTTCTTTTTGTAGCACCACCAGCAGATGATGGCTACTCCCCTTACCCAGCAAATTCCCAGCAACCCCCACCCTACCCCAGCAATTAAAAATGAGTTCAGAGTGTTTAAGATCTGCATGTACTTGTGATATGTTTAGAAAAGAATGTCATGTTTTTTAAATAATTTTTTTTTGTATTGTTATAGTCAATAATATTTGAAGATTGAACATTTAGAAATCAAACATTTATTTATGGATTTTATTGTATATTCATCTAATTCTGTACTTTAATTTATTTGCTCATTACCTGGCCCTGCGATCATGAAATGGACTTAAGTCAAAATTTTAATCATCCATAAAATGTTTATTACTTGAGAACCAAATCTCTTAATTTGCATGCAACAGCAATTTATTGATGCAAAGTGAAAAAGCATTTTCATTTTGGACTGCTTCATTTCTAAACCATTTCAGTGCAATTTACATTTTTTGGCTTAAGTTGTTTAATGATCCTTTGACCTATAGTGCACTTTACAGTATATTTCTACCAAAGTGTTTTAATTGTAGTATACATGTAGAAGACATCATTCTTTTGTACATGACACAAAAACACATAAGAGTTCTAAAATTTTGAATAATGTCACTTGAATACTCAATTTTTAATGCACCATGGAATTGGTTGATTCCATAATGTTGATTTTTACCACGAACAAAAATTAAAATCAATATATTTACTTATCTAATTAATACTCAGTATTTTGTTTATTGTTTTTTCTTCTTTCATGTATCATTTAAAACCTATGTTGAAATTGTTGTTAATTGATTAAAATTGTAAAATCATATATATATATATATATATATATATATATATATATATATATATATATATATATATATATATATATATATATATATATAATTAGCCTATATGATTATTTTGTTGTTTAAGCTGAATAAAAGTATTGTTCATTAAAGGATGTATAGAATAAAGAACAGTTCATATGATTTTTTAGATTAGCATATTGTGAATGAACTCAGCTATTGGGTGGAGAGATCACTTTTTAAAAAAAAAATGTATGGACTTCAAAGACTAAATAAATCACTCATATGTTCTATAATTATAATAATTTTTTCCCAGCAAATTTTACATTTAACTTTTTTTTTGGTAAGGAAAGAGGTGTTCAAATTATGTCTCAATTCCTTTGAAATGAAAAATATTTTAGTCAAATATATAATTTTTTGTTATAGATATCCACTTTTTTTTCTGAATTCTTTGAAAATGAAAAGGCATTATTAGTATTAAATACATGTCGACATTTATTAAGTTAGTGTATTTTTTCCATTGTGAATTTGTTTTTATTTTATTTATATAATTTTTTTTTATTTAATTCTTAAATTAATGTTGTATATTTGTTAAGATATTTTAGTAGTTTCAAGCAGTCCATGTATCAAAAAAAAAAAAAAAAAAAAAAAAAAAAAAAAAAAAAAATTAAAAATACATGGAGTTGTCAGTGTTGATTCAATCATAACGTGTGTTTCAATGTTTTATACCATTTAGTATTCTTCTTACAAATTTGTTTGTAATTACTATAAGATCATTTATCTTAATGATGTACAGTAAAACTTCAGTATCCCAAACACAAAAATATCTCTAATACCATGGATTTGGAAGTCCCTTGAAGAATTTTACCCTTGATATCTTGAATTTTCGGATATCTTGAAGTTTTTTGGTCCCCTCAAAATTGAGATAATGAGATTTGACTGTATTTGATAAATTGTCAAAAGTATAAAGAATAAGAAAGACACATTTTATGACTTGATTTTGAGAGATGAAGAACATTAACTGTCATTTTCTCAAAATATTGTAACAGTTATAAATTGTTTGTATAAAGTATACCTTGCGACAATTGTGCAATTTTTTAACACGAATTTTATATATACATATGCATGTCTGTATAAATTAATTTGCATAATGTGTACATTTTAAATTGTACCTCTAAAAGAAGTCAAGTTGATATCAAATTGTACAATCGGATGTCAGATCTGTTTGCTCAATCTCTTTTTCTTCTCTTTTTTTTCACCTTTTAGCATTATTATTTAACACCACTAATTTTCTATAACTTAAAATTTAATCATTAATTATCAAGGATATTGATTCAACTCTGAAAAAAAAAAAAAATCTGTGACTTTTAATTGTAACCTTTCTTACTCCTCCATGGCACCTGATCCCACCTTTGATGTTTTTTAGATTTCCATGTTTGCTCTGCTCCTGATTTGTATTGTTTAAATGGACTTTTGAGCTTGAATACTGTTCCTTACCTCCATATTTCATTAAGAGAATTGCCTGAAAAAGGAAAAGAAAGATATTGTTGGGAATGTGATTACAGAAATGCTCATAATTATTTAGAAAAAGAGGGATCTAAACATGTACATATGCATTCATGTATCAAAATTTTGTGTTGAATATATATTGATGAAATTTTCTACTACTTGTATATTAAAAAAAATGTTTTCCTTGACATAACGTTGTAGTTTATCAGAAACTGTGAAAAATTTTGAAGAACATTGAAATTTAAATTTGCACCTAACCATATTTAAACCACTGATAATGAGCAAATTAGTTTTAGTTTTAATTAAGAAAATGAAGTGTAATGTATAAAATTGTTTAGTGAATGCCATGAGAATTTTAAAACATGTACATGTAATTAATGTTTTATATGATGGATGTTAAGATATTTCTTTTATTACATACACATGTATGTTACTACATGTAGATACTTTATTAGTTCTGTGTTTTATATATTCTGTTAAAAGTTATTTGCTTGCAGAGTATTGTGTTCTTCTTATCCAAAAATTGTACAACTTGATTAAGAGGAAATAGAAAATCAACCTGAATTTTTAATAAACAATGTTTCAACACTTAGGTATACATGTGTTTTGTTTATTGCAAGATGAAACTATATACATGTGTCTGTCATTTTATTGTATTTTTTCCTAAACTTTGTTACTAAAGCATTTTAAACACTGGATTGAATATAGACTTATTTCTAGTCTTTAGAATCTCGAATTTCTGCTCAGATAGTTTTTAATTTCTATATAATTTGAATTATGATTTTTTTTACATTGTTAAATCATGAATATACGAGTGAACATGATACATTATTGAATAAAATATGTAGATCATTTTTATATTTTAAGTTGCTTTTCATTCTTTGAAGAAATAAAATATTTTACATGAAATATATGGAGATAACGAACAGTATTCAAGCTCTAAAGTCCATTAAACAATACAATTTTTGGAGCAGACCTCTAAAACATCAGAGGTGGGATCAGGTGCCATGAAGGCGTGAGCATCCCCTGCCGACCGGTCTCACCCGCCGTGTGCTCCTTGTCATGATCTGGAAATAACGGAAAAATCTGTCGACAATTCAGTGTGTAAATAATGGCCTAACAGTTAGTATGAAAAACGTCAGTCAGCATTTGACTTAATGATAAATTGTATTTGCTGACAAGGTCATTGTATCGATCATAGAACTTACGAAATGACGACTTTAAACGAGACTGCTGATATTTTTATGCCCCGCCATGAATATGGCCGGGGCATATAGTGTTTGTCATGTCCGTCTTCCGTCCTTCCGTCCTTCCGTCTGTCCTTCCGTCACACTTTGCGTTTAGCTCTGTTCAAAGCTCAGTTTCAAAGAAACTATCCAAGATATTTTTATCAAACTTCATATGCTGATAGATATTGATGAGGGCTATGCAATTGCATCAACATTTTTTGACCTTGACCTTTCCTTTGACCTTGACCTCACTTTTCTTAAATTAGTGTTTAGCTCAGTTTTAAAGATACCATTCAAGATAGTGTAATCAAACTTCATATGTTGATACATACTGATGTAAGCTATTCAATTGCATCAACATTTTTTTGACCTTGACCTTTCTTTTGACCTTGACCTCACTTTTCTTAAATTAATGTTTAGCTCTGTTTTAATGAAACCATTCAAGATATTTTTAACAAACTTCATATGCTGATACATACTGATGAGAGCTATTCAACTGCATCAATATTTTTTACCTTGACCTTTCCTTTGACCTTGACCTCACTTTTCTTAAATTAGTGTTTAGCTCAGTTTTAAAGATACCATTCAAGATAGTGTTATCAAACTTCATATGCTGATACATACTGATGAGAGCTATTCAACTGCATCAACATTTTTTGACCTTGACCTTTCCTTTGACCTTGACCTCACTTTTCTTAAATTAGTGTCAAACTTCATATGCTGATACATACTGATGAGAGCTATTCAACTGCATCAATATTTTTTGACCTTGACCTTTCCTTTGACCTTGACCTCACTTTTCTTAAATTAGTGTTTAGCTCAGTTTTAAAGAAACCATTCATAATATTTTCATCAAACTTCATATGCTAATACATACTGATGTAACCTTTTCAACTGCATCAACATTTTTTGACCTTGACCTTTCCTTTGACCTTGACCTCACTTTTCTTAAATTAGTGTCAAACTTCATATGCTGATACATACTGATGAGAGCTATTCAACTGCATCAATATTTTTTGACCTTGACCTTTCCTTTGACCTTGACCTCACTTTTCTTAAATTAGTGTTTAGCTCAGTTTTTAAGAAACCATTCATAATATTTTCATCAAACTTCATATGCTAATACATACTGATGTAACCTTTTCAACTACATCAACATTTTTTGATCTTGACCTTTCCTTTGATCTTGACCTCACTTTTCTTAAATTAGTTTCTGAATCAAACGTCATATGCTGATTCATACTGATGTAAGCTATTCAACTGCAGCAATATTTTTTGACCTTGACCTTTCCTTTGACCTTGACCTCACTTTTCTCAATTTGTGTTAAAATGTTGCATTACTAATATACCCTTGGCGGGGCATTCATGTCCTATGGACATATTTCTAGTTGATTCATCAACTTGTTTGTCAATAATTTACCTCGTTTTAGAAATTGTTCATACGTAGAGCATGTTCTTGCGTATTGAATCAACTGAGAGACATAAACCCCGTATGCAGGGCAGGTGATGAAGATATATTGCTGCATAATTAAGGGAAGTTGACGATTGAAAAGTTAAAGTCATCACGTTTATCATAAAGCTTGGTTGTTAGATCACCATTAACGTCCTTTTCAAGTATAATATCCAAATATGAAACAGATGTGTCAGACTCTGTGGTATCTTTTTTTTCAAGCTCACCGGGATATATCGTACCGACATAAGAATGGAAATAACCACTGTTAATTGACAATACGTCGTCGATATATCTAAATGTCGAGTTGAAGGCCACAGCAAGTGTTTTCTTCTTTTCACGTAAAAAGATTTTGAACAAATTCTACTTCTTATGAATAAAATTGGTACCCATGGGAATTCCAATAGATTGTTGGAAGACCTGGTCTCCAAAAACCACATAGATATTGTCAATCAGAAACTCATGCATCTTTTTAATATCAACTTCAGAGTTCTTGTGTGTACAATCAGAATGTTTTTTAACAAAATTAATTTGCAAACGACCAATGACAAGGTAAGTAAATTGAGTTTCATTTTTATTGGAAAAGCAACTGTCAATGATATCAAAAAGCCTGGACTCTAATTTATCGTGGGGAATGGTATATAAAGTTGAAAAGTCGTAAGTTTTTATGTTGTTGATTTTGGTAAAATTTTGTGATTTCAAATTTTCCAATTTTCAAGTATCCAAATCTTATTTACACCACTTCTCGAATATATTGTTGCACAGTACTCCTGAAGATTCTCCTCTACTACTGTTCATATTTTAGTGAGGAGTAAAGAAAGAGACTTGGTAGAACATTTACTGGAACCCGCTTTGTATCTTTGTTTGTAAGGATTTTTATGAAGTTTCGGAATCCAATATAGATATGGTAATTCAAATTCATGTTGGTTGTTGACCTGAGCCTTGCTCACACCGCTCCCTTGAGATTAAAAATATTCAAAACTGACATATAATTTTGAAGAATTTCCTCCTTAGAAAGGGAAGCTATTGATATAGGTTGGATTACCACTTGTAGAATTAAAACCTAGTTCCTCTAAAATACAATTTAAATAATGAGCCTTACAAACAAAGACAATGTTGTTACCTGCTTTGTGTATTTACCAGTACATACTGATTGTGTAATCTATTTAATTCTTTTTTCACTTCTGAATTATTGAACAAAGAAGGATAGTTGGTTTCCATTTTGCCCCTCAATCGCTTAATGCGAGATTTTAACATACATTCGATACATTTAATGCATTCTGACAATGTGTTAAGGTCTTCTTTTTCATGTCTGGCCCATCGTCTGGCGTATTATCTTCCACAGAATCACTGTTCACGGTAGCTCAGTCGGTAGAGCTCCCCCCACCCTGGAGCTTTAAGGGTGTGGCCAAAACCATCAAATTACGACAATGTTTAAAAATCTTCTTTACTCCTAGACATCAAGCAGTCAAACTATTGGCATTTATTATATTGTAAAAGTGCAGTAATTCTTTGAAAATCTTCTCTGCTCCTGGTTATTAATTTATTAAGTAGCGGGTTATGGGAAGAGGAGTTCCTCTTCCATAATTGTGAGTTTCACAGCCCCTGGGTCGGGGGTTCTGGTTTGTGGGTGGGGCTCTTTTGATGATATAGTGAAATGCATGAATTCTTTTATGAATAAAAACTTCTACACCTGGATATTTAACACATAAACTAAAAGCATGGTCATCCTGAGCAAGGATACCTCTTTTTAAACTGTGGAATTTACTCTTGTACACAAATCAGAAAGGGCAGAGGTGTAGGCGATAGCTTTGTTAAATAAACGACAGCTTTTATTACGAATGAAAATTGCAATTCATTTTTCAGTTCTATGATGATGGTTGGAAAAGCTGAATTAAGTCATCCCGTTTGTCATATACATGTACATTAGTTGTATGTTGGCCATTAAAGTCTATACTCAGTAAAACTTCCAAATATGAAATAAACGTGGCAGACTCTGAAGTAGCTTTTATTTCTAGTTTACTGGCATTTATCGAGTCGACATATGAATGAAAATTATAGTTAATTGATGAAGGGTTTTCGATATTTCTAGATGTGGCAGTGAAGGCCACAGCAAGAATTTTCTTCTGATTCAGAAGTAGAAGTTTTTGAATAAATTATGCTTCATAAAATGGAGATAACGAACAGTTATCAAGCTCAGAAGTCCATTAAAACAAATCAGACCTCTAAAAGTATCAGAGGTGGGATCAGGTGCCATGGAGGAGTAAGTATCCCCTGTCACACCCGCCGTGTGCTTCTTTAATATTCATGAGAATATAAGAACGAATCGGTCAATAAAGAAGCATTTTAGTGTTCATCAGAATTTCAACAGATTGTTGGAAGAACTTGTCTCCAAAGACTACATAGATATTGTAAATGAGGAACTCCAGCGTTTGTAAGTATAAACGACAGATAGTGTAATTGTATAAAATCAGAATGATTTTTAACAAGTAATTTTGTACGTGACCAATTAGAAGATATGAAAATTTCCGAGTTCCTTTTCTTTTTGAAGAACCATTTGTCTATGATGTCAAAAAAGCCTCGTCTTTAGTTTGTCGTGTGGAAAGGTTGTATAAAGGGTTGTAAAGCCATACTTTTGATGCTAAACATCAACATATGATCAACCCAGTCTGGGCTCTAAGGATACCTATTTGCTAACTTAAAAATGTCCAGAAGTAAACAATATTTTCAATTTAGATTTGATAAAAATAGATTTTCAATATTTAACCAAATGAGCTCCATCCTAAAGCCTGAAGTCAGGATCCAAGGAACATGAATTTCAAAACTTGATAGAGATGTAACTCCTCATATGCATGCGAAAAATTCGCCTGCTAGATAACTTTGAGCTAAGAACAAAAAAATCTAGGACATGGTATATTTCTAGTGTACGGGTACACTTGTTGAGCATCTCAGCCTAATCCCGAGGCTTGAACCTTGGACCAAATGGATACATTCTTCATAATGAAAGGACAATTAGCATACTACCTACATGTATGACGTTAAATCATTTCTAATTGTCAATGAATAAATAAGATTTTCAAAGATACCAGTACATTATGAAATAAACTTTCTAGATACGACAACTGAACCCAACCAAGCTAAGGGTCTGAATTCTAGACAGGAAAATGAAGTTTGCCTACTAAATGTCTATGAGTGAAGAAATTTTCAAAGCTGTAACGTGTTTTTAATTGATGACCAAGTTAGCCCACTCTGTGGTCTGAACTCTAGACTTCTGAAATTTTCAGAGAGGTCTTCAGATGCAAACAGTCTGCTTGTTAGATGTCCATGAGAAAAGTAAGAAAAGTAGAGGGTTTTCAAAAGTGTATAATTTCAATCTTTTGAGAATGTTTCCTATGCAGACTTCATTAATTATATCAGTTATTTGTTTTAAACTATGATAACAAATTTATGTACCTACAATGAAGAGACTACCAGGTTTTTAAGTCAGTAACATATATAAAAAACGCATACCATTAGTTTTCACAAATTAAACAAAAGACCATTTAGTTAAAACAAAATTAAAGATCGAAAAACACAGATGTATTTAGAGCAACTTCACAAGATGGTAGTATTTCAGGATGGCAACATGAGCACAGTATCAATGACGTGGATCACACCGTTTGTGACGCTAATGTCAGCCTGTACGACTGTTGCATCATTCACTTTAACCGTATCTCCTGAAACAGAATGGATTTTATTAGGTTAAGAACGAATTAGAGATTGACAGATTAAATAATTATATTCCAGATATTTCCGTATCATTTCTACAAATTTGTTTATTCTGAGACATGTTTATCTTTGCAAAAATTGATTGGGAGTTTATATTCCTGTGAAATTAGAATTATTGATATAAACGTCAAGTTAACACACTTGTATAACTGAGGTTATTTCTGAAATGATTAGTTTTATTTTTGACAGATCAATATAATTTTTTTGAAATAGAAACAAAATGTACTGAAAGAAAATAATTTTAAGATAGAACAGTAAACGCAATGGGAAAATTGACAAAGTTTAAACAAAGTTTAAGCATCTCTAAGAGCTTTTTCAGGGCCACACTTAATGGATTTCCCTCTGGGATGGTATATATAGTAAAACCCAATAATCATTTTACAGTAAAGTGGCGTAATATAATATAATACCAAGAAGCTATGCTTCATAAAAAGGGTTTTTAATCCAAGTAAATGGAATCTGATTTGGGACCCAGAATCATAGATTTGATGTAATTAGGGTCACCATTAACACTGATCCTGACTTCCGATTTCTCAACCGTGGGAACTTCCATTCCGTCTTTTAGACCAGAACTGTAAAACGTTCCTGAGACCACGTGGTATGTAAGGAGATCTGAAATATATATTGCAGATCTAGTTAATGTCAGCCAATAATTAGTGTTTATTTATACCAGTTGACAATGCATGTTGTATGCTTGTTATTTGTGAAATGACAAAAAAACATGTTTTTTCTTTGCAGAGCCACCCAGGCACTTAGTTCTCTCGCCCACATCATATTCATTATTCAGAGAAAATTAACTGGATATGAAGTTAATGCGTAGTTTTTTTAAACAAACAACTTAGTATCAATGTTCAAATATTACACAACATTAAGTGATTAGAACGTCAGTTTAGAGATATGCAGAAAACATTACATATGAAAGCGAAACTATATAATCAAAAGCACTATATTGGTAAAAAGGCATTTAATATCACCATAATTGCCATTCCCCCTTTTCTAAACAGAGTTGGTGTGTAAATAACAAGACAAATTTCTACTAAGACAAAAAAAATTGGAATCCGTTGGCTTGATCTACAATCAATTTCATCAAATATCATTATATGTATAATAATCATAATATGTATTATAACATTTATGAAACCGAGACTGGCTACTGACAGATAAGTTGATGTTACAGGGATTTCAACAACCTTAACGTCAGCATTTCGTAAATTATGACCTTGTTAACAAATATAACCTATCATTTGATCGTAATTTGGCTGACATGTTTCATACCAATTGTTAGGCCTTTGTTTTTATTCTAGATTCGAATACTTGACTTCGGAATGTTCAGTCTACTTGATCAAAACATAAGACTCACGGCGGGTGTGATTCGTCAACAGGAGATGCTTACCCGTCCTAGGCACCTAATCAAACTTTTGGAAATCCATGTTTTATGCCCTGTTCACAGATTTGTATTGTTTGTAAATTTTTTGAGATTGATCAGTGTTCGTTATTTTCACCTTTTTTTCATACGTGCTAGATGTGATTGACTTTCACGTTTACCCGAGTCACCTTGCTTTTACTGTCTCATTAAGGACTTCATACTCAGAATTCATTAACAGTAAAAAATTGTTTAATTGAGGAAAATCGATGGACTCTTTTCTAAATACAAATATAACCAAACTGACTAGAATACAATTAATTTTACGCCTTATAAAAAAAAATTCAACGGAGTATTTTTTGTTCATAATTAAACATCTGTAGCCTTAAAACTCTAAAGAGTAAGACGATGGACCCAGTCTAATCCTCAAACATGTATGACATAAATATCAAAGCACAGTTATATGGACTTTGGGGAATAATTGCTATTCGTTATCTTCACATTCATTTTTTCTTTTTAATTAACTCACAGCCCCATGCCTAGAAATGTCCACCCCCCCCCCCCCCCCCGATTGTTTTGAATGCAGCAATTCAAGATACATACATCCTTTGCAGGAAAAATTATTAGGGGCATTATTATGAAACAGGACATTTACGTTACTGAAGTTTGTATGTAGCTTGGATAGCCATTATGCTTGAACACAAGTGGATAAGGAATACCACCAAATTAATACAATTTTTTTTCAATAAAATTACAACTGAATCATTGAGACGAAGAAATTCAGTAGTTTTATTCATGGTAAGTGCATTGCAAACACAAAATAATTAAGAAATTCGTATCAGATTAATAGAATGCAAATAAATAGTAAAGTGCATTAGTACTACATTCATGAAAACGTAGTAGTTAATATATTAACATCAGAATTCTTATTACACCAAACCCCTGTTCATAAATATTTTTAAGTTTCTGTCCCTATAAATTGCGCCTTTTATTGTGCAAAGTTGTAACCTAGAATTCAAATGTAATTTACAAAATGGAGGACAAATGGTCCCCTGATGAGATCTTTGAGACACCTTGTTCCAGTCACACACAGCAATTGTAATTATAAGGTCATTTGATTCGCTCAAGATCAATCAATAAAGTTATTTAGTTCTAAGTTTACTAATGAATGGCACAGATAAAATATGAAAATGAATTCAACAGAATATTTTAAAAAAAAAGGATTGGTATAGGTTTGGAAATAATGTCCACAGAAGTGATAAGTATAATTAACTTCTTGTATCATTTTTCAGCTGTGATACCGGAAGTGCATGTACACAAACACAGAGCAAATACAAGTCTTAGTATAAAATTACATTTCATCCACTCTTTAAAATTGTCTACAGATTTTATTTCTATCAAAAAACACTAAATATACCCACCCTTACTAAAATTTACTGTAAATAAAGTAGTTTCTGTGTTTTACCCAATTCTTTGACATTTTACTGGGATACGTTGAATTACTATCAGGATGATTCTTTGATGTATCTAACAATAATTATAATGCTAAGATTCACTAATATGAAGCTTTACTCTAGATTTTTGTTGAGATTACGTGTTGGGAGCAAAACTATATCCCGCTTCCATATGTATGATTACGCATTATAGAGTTATATTTGAATAAACATGTAGTGGTTGTATTTTCTTTTGATTTAAAAAGAATGGGATCTGAACATTGGAATAAATGAAATACTAGTAAAACAATTTGTATTTCGTAGAAAAAATCCTGGATTTTCTACTATTATAGGAAAAGTAAGACATTTTGATTTAACTGGCACAAAGATGGATTTACTGTGGTAAACGCTGAGAAACTTTGAGTCTTATATATGTTAAACTATATTTTACTGTGGTTAAAATTATCAAGTGTGTAATTTCAGATTGCAAACAAGTGCAGAATGAAAAAAATATAAGCTTTCAAGAGTTACACTGAATACTGAATATTAATATTTGATTATTTACCAAAATTATTTCTAAATTGCTTTATTATATAATAAAGGAACCTAAAACAAGTATGAAAATCAGTTACATTGTTATATATATCGTACCAAAGTGTGTGCCTATTTTGCAATGATTGATTGTATGTTGTTTTACGTCCCTTTCGAGATTTTTTCACTCATACAGAGACGTCACAATATACCGGTGAAGGGCTTCAAATTTAGACCTCACTCGGCACTTGGGACCATTGAGCAGTAAGGGTTCTTTATCGTGTCAACGCCTACCTGACAAGGAGCCTCGGATTTTAAGGTCTCATCCGAAGGACCCGCAATTTTCACTTCAAAGTGCTGATCGCTTGGCGATGGAACAGTTGCTACCTATTTCTTATCGACGTAGGTCACGGAGGTTACGGAGTAAGCCCTCTACCGACTGAGCTACCTTGACAGTTATTTTGCAATGAAAATTAATGTGATTACATTGCTATATATATCGTTCCAAAGTGTTTGCTTATAGATAATTTTGCATCACCGTAAACTGATTTTGCTTGCACACTCAAAGAAAGAATTAAATTTTAAATATATATACAATATGATGGACCCACATTTTTAATGAATTGAAGTCTACTTAGATTGTTGTGATATAATACTAATACTATCAAATACATTTGTTTACTAAACATTGATTTTGTGACCAGACAATTATGATTGTTGTTGCATGAAGAAAAAAATTAACATGAAACTCAGAAATACGATATCTTTGAGCTCACCTACAAGAGCTGTCTCATTGCTCAGCAAATCACTTAATTTTCCTGGAGGAAGTTTCTGGAACGCGGCATTATTTGGCGCGAATACAGTAAATGGTCCCTCTGTGAACAAAATTTATGCTTGTAAAATAATGCAATAACACTTGGCTTAATATACATGTACAAAAATATTTGTAGTATTTTCTTATCTTTTATTCTTACTTGAATATTTATCTTATCTTCACTTTCAAATGAAATGAAAAGATGTATCTACATATTTGAATGAAATGATATATAATTATACTTTGGGGTGGGGTGGGATGTTTTATACTAATAGATTTTATAGGGGTCAATTTGACTTTTAATGTGTTATGCGTGCCAGAATCTAAAACAGGTGTGACAGTCAAACCCTACTGACCGGTTAATGTTTTCTGCAGTTTTCCACGAATGACGGCATATACTAAGGTGCTCAGCTCCGGAGTTTTTGATGCTAGTGCCACCACATTCTCAGTAGGGACTGGGTAAATAACTTTGTTCAGCATATGAACTACACCGTTGGAAGCATTTGTATCAGGTAAGATGACTTGAGATCCCGTGGCAAACACTTTCTGGAACAAAATATGATGAAAAGAAAATCGTTTTAACAAAAATTTTCTGACTTTTCTGTCGTTTTACCGGAAACCAAATACCCTGTTCTGCATAATTATGGTAAAAACTTTAACAAAATGCTGATAAACAATATTAACATTCCATCAAGAGGTCCATGGGTCACAGCGCTCGCTTGAGTCAATGATAAAAGGATACGAAAATAAAGCCTCTTATTGTAACTGTCAACTTTGATTTATGATCTCAACCATCTTGATTTACATATTATTTTCTTGATTGAGATTTGATAAAAACATTCTTGTTAAAAAACAAAATCAAGTGTGTTCAAATGAAGGGTAAAGTTTCTTAAAAAATAGATAGAACTAAGAAATTGATACTTTATTTGAACTTGCAAATGTACTTGAAATCTTTTCACCCAAGAATACTCTGTGCCAAGTTCGGTTGCGATTGGTTCAGCTGTGAAGTGAAAAAATATCATAAATTTTCGGATGACTCAGAGAGAGAGAGAGAGCGAGAGAGAGAGAGAGAGCCTTTATTTGTCAGAAAAATTAACTTAACCCCTGGCTCAGGTGGGCTAAAATTCAAATTTGATGAATTCATGATCTATTTGAAAATCATCTCTTATGATTCGTTAGTTCCGAAGGCCAATATTAAGATTCGATTTATTTTTTAACCCCAAGGAATAAGAAAAAAAAAATAAAATAAAAAGAAAAAAAAAAACTAGGCATTCTCACTGCACAATATCGAAATTCAATATAATGGATTATACTTTGTGCATTTTTAACAAGAGAAAAGATTTCCATTGATACCAAAATAGGTACGATTTTAAATGTATACGTTTTTTTAGTATAATATTATCAGAATATATTTCAAAATTGACTACAAAAATACACAAGAACTTGCTTAAACTAGTGCAATGTCCAATTCATTAAAGTCACACAACTGTTAATTTCAGTACTGTATTGTGGATTTGTAATGTAAGAACAAAAAAATGTTGAATTGCTAATAACAAGTATTTAGTATTGAGTGTTAGTTGTATACTTACCGACATTGTCATGCTTAACAATTAAAATCTTAGTATATAGTTTATTAATTATTGTTCACAATAAAACATTCTTTGCTATGGAAAAACCTAATCGTTAAAATTAATTTTCATCGCCTGACACATAGTTTCAATTTCAAATTTCAAAAAAAAAAATTATGGGAGAGTAAAGGAGTTAAATTTGTTTTTTACTATTAATTAAAAAAAATAATAAAGCAATTTACCCACAGGCTTTCGTTTTGTCCACTGATTTCCTTAAAGTTTGATATAGATTAATTTTTCTACAGCAATTAATTTTCCAGTAGGAAATTACATGTCTTAGCTTGTTACAAATAAGAAAGAATTGTGTTCCAGATAGCTTGATTTATGTGCACAAATCAATAACGATGACACAGAAAAAATTGTAATACGAAGACTTACTCCGTCGTATACGTTGATTCTGATTTTTTGTGAGTTGTCTAGAGTCTCGAGTAACTGATCATTTTTCAGGTCTGACGAAAGTTTGACCCCGCTTGCTGCATGATAGGACAGAACCTGTTTTAGGAGTGTCTTGTCTTTTGACAACTTGTCTAAAACGTCAGCCGGAAGCGCACTAAAACCTTTGTCCGTAGGAGCAAAAAGTGTAAATGGACCTGGAATTAAAAAAAGTTTGCTTTTATGATACCTTTTCATTCTAAGAACAATTATGCCATAGTGCTAACATGGATTTTTTTTCAAGTTACCGTATATATGTTACATTAACGTTTTAGAATTCAGCGAATTTAAAACTAACTATAGGTTGTTATAGTTAGTTTCAAATTCTCTGAATTCTAAAACTTTAATGTAACATGCTCGCCAATAAGTTTGGGAGTTAAATTTCTGTCCAAAACTCTACGTCCGACTTACAGGCGAGTCCTTATTGGTATTTTTCTGGTCGGCAAAATGTAGTATTTTTTAAACAACACCTAAGATTATCGTACACAAAGTCAGGACATTCATATTTTTTATGTATTCTAGGATTATGCATAATTAAAGTACAAATATTATTCTATTTTACCTTACGTGTGTATCATTTATTTTGTTTTATCATTTACATAACAAATATTCTTTCAGTAACTCGGCCCTACTGTAAATCTATTGTTTATCGATACAATTGAATTGCGACCCCGATATAACGCCAGTTTGGCAAGAATAAATTAATATTTTAGACAGTACAAATGAATATTTCAATATTAAATATTGAAATATTCATTTGTACTGTCTAAAATATTTTGATAAAAGATTAAATATTGTTAAGAAATATTCAAAGTATAATTCTTAAAATTCGATTGTTAATGAAACTTATTGTTTCCCATGTACACAATTTTCTCGGGGCACTTGCCACTAAATAAACACTGTGTCAGGTAAGGGATACAGGTAAATAAGAGACATTAATTGTTTAGATAAAAGAAGGAAAATTTAATCATGATAATTACCAATAATGTTTCAAGTGTAGCGTTTATAAATCAATAACAACAGATAAGGCTTGGACATTGAGAACCCCGTAATTATAAAATTAATAAAATTATCGAAATGTTACATATTGATGTGCTCTGTGATACTAAATATGAATGTTTTTATTTTTCAATAGTGGCTCAGTTTGTAATGAATAAAATTATAAAATACACTGTATATATTTTTATTTCAATTGGGAGAGTTACAAAGAACGAAGGTAGAACAAAAGGTCAGTGTTCAAAATATCTAGACGACAAGGTATATAACTCTTTTAAAAACAAAACGTATAGATGAAATAAACGAAATGGTAGCTGTTTGGTTTGTTGAAAAATAAAAGGTTAACTATCGATGTTATATCCCAAAATATAATTTAAACACAGGTAAATTCATCAGAGTATTAATATAAAATTGAGTTGTTGAGAAAAAATAAGAAATATCGGCGTCATTTCTCAAAATATTATTTGAAAAACAGGTTAAAACAAGATGTGTTTGTGAAACACTGATGCCCCCGTATGGCAACTTATAGCAAAGGTTAAACTTTCTCAAATGCAAATAAAATATGTTGGTACCCAAAGTAAGGTCTTGTGAAATATGAAAGCCCTAGCAGCAACCATTGAATAGATATAGAAAAGGTTAGAGTTTTTCAAAAGTTTATTTTTTGTTTGTCTGTTGTTTAACGTCCCTCTCGAGAATTTTTCACCCATATGGAGACGCCACCACTTGCCGGTGGAGAGCTGCAAATTTTGTCCTAAACTCGGCACTTACGGCCATTGAGTAGTGAGGGATCTTTTTCGTGCCAGCACCTACTGCGACACGGGACCTCGGTTTATACGGTCTCATCCGAAGGACCGGTCTCCACGTCCCACAGTGAGATTCGAACCCGCGACGTTTTCAAAAGTAAGTCAAACATCAAGGTCAAGGCCAAATGTCAAAATTAATGGTGTCTTAGGAAAGGCCTTCTCACTAGAAATATACAGGTGAAATATGAAAACTGAAGCACCAATCGATCAAAAGCTATGACCAATGTTTAAGTTTTTCAAAAGTAGGTCAAACTCCAAGGTCAAGGTCAATGGATTACGATTGTTAGTATCCAAGGAAGGCCTTGTCACAAGAATTACATATGTGAAGTATGAAAGCCCTAGCACTAACGGTTCAAAAGTTATGGCCAAGGTTAATTTTTTTCAAAAGTAGGTCAAACTCCAAGGTCAAGGTCAAAGGGTCAAAGTTGTCGGTATCCAAAGGAAGGACTTTTCACAAGGAACACACATGTGAAGTATGAAAGCCTTAGCACCAATTTTTCAAAAGTTATGGCCAAGGTTAAAGTTGGATAAAATTTTGCAAAACTGGGTCAAGGTCAAAAGGTCAAATATGGTGGTATCCAAGGAAAGGTCTTCTCACAGGAAATACACATGTGAAATATGAAAGCCATGCTCCATCCAATCAAAAGTTATGGACAATGTTAAGTTTTTCCGGACAAACAGACAGACAGACAGACGGACGGACATGGCAAAAACTATATGCACCCGAATCTTCGATACGGGGGCATAAAAACAGAACATTGATTTGAAATTGTCAAACGATTCTGGCAAAAAGTTGTACCGAATTATAAGCCGGTCAATATCAAAGCCTTTAAAAAACCTGAAAAAATACAACCGACTTATAGGCGGGTCGACTTATAGGCGAGTAAATACGGTAAACATTAAAAGACAACAGAAAAGATTGGTTAATGGCAGCAAACATTGTACATAAATACCTTTTCCCTTTAAAACACTACTTAATTCAGCATCTTGAAGTAATTTCACAAGCTGGTTCGCTCCCAATTTCTTTGCAACGTCAAGCACATTTTCCTGACAACATGCTGTCTTCACAATTAACATAAATAAAAATTGCTTGAACATTTTTAACATAATAAACATCTAAGAATTACGTTATAATGGCGAATTCCTGGACACGTGACAGAATATAGTCCAAAAAGTTGACCTTTGTCCTACAAGATTTCTTATCTGGCAAACACTATCTGCGAACTCCATAAAATAAAATACTTTTTTGTCATACTATGTACATCGATCGTCAAAATAACCCCTGTGATTTATTTTCTCTAAATGATAAAAAAGAAAACATCTAAAACATATTTTTGATTCCGAGAAGATATAACAATGGATACACAAGACTTAGTATACTTATCAGCATATGCTATTGTTCAGTTGAAAGCTTATCAAACATTGTACTGTCTAATAGAGATAAATACATGCACTGTAAGTGGTATAGTGCATATGAACTTAGTCTAGTTCTTATCGGATCAGCAGAGACCTTATTGCATGTTTACGATACATAGATATTTTTATGCAATATAACGTTAAGCTTAATTTTGTTAGAATATTTTTTTAGTCTTGGCTGTTTACCAACTTACTAACAAATTACAACAAAATCATGAAATGGAAAGGTTAAGAAGTACGAGGACTAATTACGTTATTATCTTATTTCAAATTTTATTAATTTTCATACTTACTTGAGCAGGCATTCTTTGAACAATTAATGCTGATACAACTTGGTTTTTATATAGGATTTAAATATATATATATGTGTGTGTGTTTATATGCTTAAAAATATTTTCAAATTTCCTGTAAACAATAAAAGTGTTTTATAATCAGAATATCTGAAATAACAAGAGTAAAAAAAAAAAAGATTTAACTTTAAAATATGATTATGCAATATCTACATTTCCCTGCATGTCACTTCATTCTACCCAATTAAGATACCAAGAAATGCATTAGAAGTCCCTTGTATGCAGGGATAAAGAAATTGCATGGGACATCCTCAATCACATCTGATGTCCATTATCTCAAATTTACGGTAATGAAATTGTGGTCCCTTTAATTTCATAACGCGTCTGAAGTGCGCAACACGACCACCAGCTTGCAGGAAAAGTCATAATTGATATGAAGTTGGAAATCGAATGATCTACGTCACATTTCGTTTGTCAATTTACAGTGAGAAATGAATTGGGCTTGTATTGTTTACGTGCACGAGGCCATACTGAAGAGTGATACTAAACCACCCTTTCTTTATGCCAAACGGTTTGGAAAATGCGAAAAAAATACTAAGGAGGGATTATTTAGATTCAGCTTTTTCTTAATTACATGCAGATGCATTGCATAGGGTATAATATGAAAGCTATTTCAAATAGTGAAGGATATCTATTAATTCTCAAAACAACATATATAATAGTTGACCATTGAAATTTTTTTAAAATAAATTCTTATACATGTGTCATCCATGTCATTTTCGAAAACATCTGTAAAATTTTATATTATATCTCTGTAACGGAAATGGTTGTATCCTTAAATGAATTTGGGTGTCGATCCTATGGCCTCTTTAAATGAAATTAAGGTCATCAATGTTTGAATGTTTCTTTAAAAAAATTCTTTATATGCCTTTAAGTTATTCTCGTTATGTCTGTAGGTAATGTAAGAACATAAGTAAATGCGTTAATGACAAATAAAATCCCTATCATTATTATTTACATTTAGTAAATTATGGTCGTTGAAGATAGGAAATATCACTTCTTTGCTGGAAATACTTAAATATATATACAGAGATGACATTTTGGGATTATTTTTTCAAGAATGAATTATAGAACACTTGCGGTGGCCATCAACGCACATTCAGATATATCGGCGACTTTCATCTAGTACATGTAATATTCCGCTTTGACCTGCATATAGTGTTTTCCTATCCCAACTAATACTTAAAAACAGAGATACATTGTAGGGTCAAGCAAATGCTCTTCTAAGCCCCTATCCTTACTCCTAAAAAAAATTAACTACTATTAAGGTAAAACTTCGGACGTACTGTGCTATAGCATATTCTAGTGTTATTCTGGTGTTAATCAGAGGTGGATTCTCAAAAACTTCAAAGAACTTTTAGAAAATTTAAGATTGCCAAATTTTTCCAAAGTCAGTAACATCAAAATGTACGACTTTTCTACACTTTATACAACCATTCCTCACGATAAATGCAAACTAAACTTTTTGATATCATAGATAACTGCTTCTTCAATAAAAATGGAAGCCGGAAATTTTCCTATCTTGTGATTGGTCATCAACAAAATTACTTTGTTTAAAATCACTCTGTTTCTACACACAAGAACTCTGAAGTTGATAATCAAAGGATGCTGGAGGTCCTCATTGACAACATTTATGTGGTCTTCGGAGACCAGTTCTTCAAATAAACTGTTAGAATTTCAATGGGCACTATTTGTGATCCTTTATTAGCTGATCTGTTTTTATATTCCTATGAAGCAGAATTTATTCAAAAGCTACTACATGAAAAGAAGAAAACTCTTGCTGTGACATTCAATTCAACATTTAGATATGTCGACGATCTATTATCAATAACAATAGTTACTTTCATTCATATGTCGATTCGATATATCCCGGTGAACTTGAAATAAAAGACGCCACAGAGTTTGCCAATCGTGTTTCCTATTTGGATGTTTTACTGACTATAGACGATCAGGGCCAACTAATAAATAAATTATATGACAAACGAGATGACTTAATTTTTTCCATTATCAACTTTGTTTTTTTATGTAGTAATATTTCGGTATCACCTGCATATGGTGTTTACATCTCCAATCTTATTCGATATTCAGGAGCATGCTCCGAGTACTTCAACCAATGTGGGCTACTGACAGATAAGCTGATGTTCAAGGGATTTCAACAACCTCGTTTATAATCAGCATTTCTTAAATTCTTGGGAGTTATAATGACCTTGTTAGCAAATATAATCTATCATTGGGTCGTATTTTGGTTGACGTGTTTCATTATTGTTAGGCCTTTGTTTTTATACCTAATTTGAGTAAGGACTGTTCCGTCTACCTCATCAATACATAGGACTCACGGCGAGTGTGACCTGACAGCAGGGGATGCTTACTCCTCCTAGGCACCTGATCCCACCTCGATCTGGAATTTGAGGAGATCTCTGTTTTTATGCCCTGTTCACAGATTTGTATTGTGTGTAGATTTATTAGAGATCGATTACTGTTCATTATCTTCACATTTTTTCATTACAACCCTTAATGATATTTTTTATGATTTGTATTCGTATTGACATTTTTCCCTGCTTTAAAGTATTAAAATTAGTTCTGATAAGTGGCTGAATTGTGGAGTTTTAGATAAATGTACGTTATAAGTTTGGATCATTTTATTGCAGGATTATTAAGTAATTACAATCATTGAGCTTTCCTTTAACTCACATTTGATTGTAAGTGGTACTCTATTTCAAATCATAATTATTTTCTTTAAAAAAAAAGACCTTATTTTTGGCGCTCTTATTTTTTAAACCATACCCTGACTGCAACCCAGGAAAAAAATTAAGTCAAGACTGGAGAACATGACAAGGATGAAATTTCAAGAAACCATATAATTCTGTATTAATGACCATACGTTCCAATGAATCTGACTTACAGATTTAAGATTTACGATACGTTTTCTATACACCATGTAAGATTTACCAAGGCAAGATTCTAAAATATCAAAAATAGACAACACGATTTACATGTACTAGGGCCTCACAAAGAAGCTTCAGCAAATCAGCTTACATTTCATAAAATTAACTTTTTATTGAAGTCCAACCACGTTGATGTCTCAAAAATGAAAAAAAAAGATAAAATGAATCATAGCAAACTTTGTTAGGTGAAAGAATAAAAAAGGGTCAAATTCTAAAACATTTACATTTAAAATTTGACCTAATTGAAAAAAGGATCCAAGAATAATATATGCAATTTAACACATATACCACCATGGGAATGACACTGTTTTGAATCTCCTCTACTAGGCATTATGTTTTAAGTAAACTTATCATGTTTGTGATTTAAACAAATAATCGATAGAATGTCATATATAATACACGAAGAAAGAAAGCAGCTCGAGTATAATTTTAACCCTCTCTCACTTTCTGCAGATATTTTTTTTTTTTTTTTTTTAAATTTTGAGTTTGACACATAGTAAATCCGAAACAAGAAAAATAAACCAGATGAAAAAAAAAAGCTGAATATATGAAAGTAATGGGAGTCGCCTTTGATTGCCAAAGATCTGTTATCTACAAAGTGTCACGCTCATCTCATTGTATTCCTGCATTCCCTTTCAACGTAACCTCCCATAATGAGATAAATTTACATAGTCAAAGAATCTAATGACAAAATAATAACACCCTGTATCAAGACAAACGACAAAAAGAGTTCTTTAATCAGCCAAATCAGATATTAAGGATGAAAGGTTCTGTTTGTAAATTGCTTCTATGTAACGAAGTGCACGTAAAAATCAGAATGTAAAATTTGAATTGGTGTGTCACGATTTCGAAGTCACGACTCGTACTTTACATCCATAATTAAATAATAGTTTGGGGTGACTTTTTCTCTTAAAATACGAATAAATGTTTATTTTTTTAACTTTATCCGCCAGCAGTTTATTTTCGTGTTGTTAATTTTGCAGCTTGGAGCTCATTTTGGAAATACTTTTTGGATCCTCCCATGGACCTCATTTCGTATTGACTACACCTGTAATGTATTCCAATAACAAGTTTATAACAGTAATTAATAAATATTAACATGTAGAATAGTCTTTCACTTAACAAAGCCTCTATGGCCAATTTTAACTCATTTTTGAGACTTCAAAGTCGTCGAACAATAAGATGTTAAAATTGTGTGAAACAAGCAATCAATAGTATCGTGTACATGGTTTTTTCCCGTAAACAAAAATATTAAGCCTCTGAGTCCAAACAACTGTAATATACTAAAATATAGCTCAATATATGCGATCATGTAAAAATGTCCGTAAAACCAAGTGGGATGGACTGACCTATAAACAAAGGAACAGATAGACAGACAGACGGAGAGGAAACATATACCCCCGGTTTCTTCGGCAGGGGACTAATTAAAGGAATCAATCAAGTTTCTTTTAATGTCTATATGAAAACAATGTTCCTTTTTTGAAACTACATATATTTAAGTCAATTAATAAAATTTAAAAGATGCACGAGCAATAGAACATTGTAACATTTTTTCCCTTCAGTTTAATTATATATAAATTAAGAATAAAAACACATGAATGCGTTTAAACAAATATGACATCAACTTTGATAAATATCGGATGTAATTAATAAATTACAAATAACAAGTCTAAATTGAAGATGACAATACAAATATATTCTTATAATTAAACTTTCCACATTCTTGTGAGTACTTTTTATATCGTGAGTACTTTTCAACACTTTTTTATTTATCAGGATGACATAGAGTCCTCAAAAACTTATTTTGAAGACTATCCCCCCAAAAAACATGTATATGTTGATATACATACATATCATGCGTAGGCGTCACACGTAAGCAGATAACGTTTTACTGTTTGTGGAAGATAATCTCATTAAAAAAAGAACCGATGACAAATACGATGATCACAAACGTAACATTATTTTCCCGATAATAGTACATATATAGTAACATAGTCTTGAAATAAGACAGTATCAGACGCTTACAGTCGCGTATGCCTTGCTCATCGTAAATTGATTTAAAAGTATTTGGCATCGTATATTACAATTTTGGAAAAATACACAACGGACGCTCCTCGTTGTAAATTTGTGAGATTAATTGACGACAAATATAACAGTTGAAGTAACACTTGCTAGTAGCTGTTGAGGTATTCTCACTTGGAGTCAGGACTTGTGACAAATGTGGTGGGGATAGGGAATTTGGATCGGATGATCCATCACAATTTACGCACGTGTCAAGAAAATCGTTACTACATTGAGAATCGACATAGATATAAGACACAGAATCCGCAGGTATTTATGGGATTCGTTTTGTCTGATTAAAAGGACTGTGATTTGAAACTTCAATATGCGTGAGTACTTTTCTTTCCTTAATATTTATTTTTTTTGCAGGAAAAAAAAAAAAATAAATAGTAATATATAATTCATACTTGTTCTGATTGAAATAGTTATCATTATTTGAATAATATATCTGTTTTTATTTTAATTTTTATTTTTGAAATTAGAACATTAGTACTAAACAATTGAAAAAAAAACATGACCTTGTTACACTGTGGTTTGATAGCATCAGTATATTCATAGAATGTGGCCTAATTTCATTTGATGTGTCAATTATTTTTTCACCTTAGTGAAAAAGGAGGAATCTAAAGAAACTGTTTTAAGCAAAAATAGAACCTGTAGAAAATGTTTTGCGCACCTTTTTAGAATTTATTACATTTAGGACAAAATAATTTCAGTGTCTTAATTTTAGGGATTTTTCATTTGAAAACAATGATTTCATATAAAGTCTGCACACTGATGAGTGTGTGCGTTTACTTTAATGTCATATAGCGCTATAAAGTAAGTTTGACCACAGGCTGTAGCACAGTCATGCTTCCTCCTTGAATTCTTTCAAAGGAGGCTTTCAAGTAAAAAGTAAATAATGGGAAATTTACTGTAAATCTCTTTTTATTTGCGAAAACTTTATTGTCGTGTAATAACATAAGAGTCTGCTAGCAAAAATATTTCTTTCTCGACTATATTTGTATTTTTAAGATGATATACAACAATAAGAAAACGTTGATTTTTTTTTCTAGCTTTTAAATTCTAAATATGAAAATATTGTTCCACGAAAATTTGGAATATAAAACAAAAAGTGAACCTTTTAGCACCCATCATGGATATTTTTGCTTAATTTTTAATCTTCACTATAATAATGAATTCTCGTTTTGCATAGAATATGTTTATATCATTAATTAATAACATCGCTTTCCATATAAATGATATATTTTGCATCTTAAGTGGGTGTTATATCATTAATTGCTTTCATTAAGGCAGATTTATGATAACTGTATCAATAATGGATGCTAATGTGTCCACTATTACTGCATTTTATCATTAAAGGTATGTCTTAGTATATATTTCATGACCTTGCAGTGTCCCAGTGATATAAAATCCTCAAACAAAATAAAGATTTTGCATCCATTATAATACTAGTATGTTTGCTTCAAATCGTATACGTTTTACATCTACTGAACAGACTTGTACCTTTGAAAACAAGTTTATATCATAGTTGATGACATTAATTTCCATCTATACTATAATTTGTATCATTAATAAATGGTGTATCATCCGTGCTTAACACAGTGGTTGCTAAATGACTGGATTATATCAACATTGTTACTTTATTTTTATTTTATAGTGGATTTTTTTATCATTAGTGGTTGCCAGGTTTTTTTTTCTATTACCTTTAAATATTGCTCTTTTTATATACTTTTTATACATCAACCAACACAAAGTATCTTTTCAGGAAATGCTAGAACAGTTATCCAACACAAAAAATCTTTTCAGGAAATGATGCTAGAACAGTTATTGGTTTTCAATTATAAGATGGTCTTGATTTTTTTTAAACAAAATTATGTACACAAATTACTATTCTTTCTTCGTAAACATGCATGTTATCTAAATCTGAAAGTAATAAATTCTGTGCTCTCTGCATGACAAGCTTTAATTTCAAATCAAAAACTGATAATGCTTGAAGTCAAATCATGAAATCTGTAAATGATAAGAGTGAATGTTATTCTGCATCAGGTAGGTGATAAATAGCCAAACTACTCAAGGAAATAAACTTTAAAGTACTTTTATCAGTGTACGACATACTAGTTATGGACTGATGAACTTTTTTCCCCATCCAGATAGATATATTTCTAAATACTTATCATCACTCTGATTTCAGTAGAAAATCTAAATAATTAGACATCAATCAATATCTGGGAAGTCTCCGCTAAAGATACTGGTTTCCCATTCCTGAAAATATCTGTCTAAAATTATTGCTATCTTCATAGAGTATCACACTGCCTGGCATCTTATTTTTATCTCTCCACTTCTGTTTCTATAACTGAAGGCCTCAAATTATAAAGGTTTTTGAAGAGGTCGTATCATACATCAAGAAAATGATTATATCCGCAGGCTTTTATTTTAGTTCTCTTTTTTCGTGTATCGACTAGATTGATCTAAATTTATAGCTTGAAATAAGAAGAAATGTTATAATACTGAGCAATATCTCCTGTATTAGAACCTTAGTAGAAAGAGCAAACGAAAATCACGAATCAGTGAGACAACATTGTCATTTAATGCCTCCAGAGGTATACAATTTATTTTTAAAAAGTATGAAAAGATTAAAATGATTAAAACTGACTTTCTTTGGTTATTTTTTTCCGTGTAAACTGCACTTTTCAGTTGCAAAGGATACTTATGAATAATTTTCTTATTTAGCATCGTTTTCTTCTAAAATTCTTTCGTCATATGAAGAAATTTAATTCATTTGGAATATGCGGGAAATTATCAATTAATATCACCTTGCCACATCTGAGTTGTTACTGTTTCTAATTAACAAAATTATGGGTCAGAGATACATTATTGTCAAATATTTCTCTTTAAGTGTTTTATACAACTAAGTTATATACCTTAACAAACATCAAATTTCAGTCACCATGACCTATCTGAAATAATCTTCATTTATGGAATAACAAAAGGTAAAGATAACGAACAGTGCTCAATCTCAAAAAATCTAAAAACAATACAAATCTGTGAACAAGGCATACAACACGGACCCCAAGAATATTCAGGTGCCTAGGAGGAGTAAACATCCCCTGTTGAACGGCCACACCCACCGTGAGCCCTATGTTTTGATCAGGTTTACTGAACATTCCGTAATAAAATTAAGTATAAAATCAAAGGCCTAGCAACTGCTATGAAACACATCAGCCGAAATAGGACCCAATGATTAAAATGAGTTAGATTTATTAACAAGGTCATTATAACGACCAAAGAATTTACAATATACTAATTTAAACGAGGTTGTTAAAATCCTTGAAACATCAACTTATCTGTCCGTCGCATGCCTCGGTTAAAACGTGAACGTACTCGGAGCATGCTCTTTGAGTACTGAATAAGTTTGAAGACGTAAATACCAAATGCAGGTGATAGCGGAATATTACTTCATAAATAAGGAAAGATGACGTTGGAAAAAAACTAAAGCCATCACGTTTATCAGACAATTTAGCTGTTAGCTGGCTCTATTGCCTAAAGCTTAAGCATTCTACGATTATATTTAATGCACTCTAAGCTTGTGCGAAGTACGGTCTTTTATTGGCAAAATATTGACTAGACATGAATCCAACATTTTGAAAACATGTACACTGAACATTCATAGCGACCTGAGTAAGATCATCAATTTTCCCTTTGCTTATTCTGTTCTAAATATCAGTCTCTAGTGGTTCTTTCAATGTTGTATACAAGAGAAGAAACTTATTTCTCCAATCTTTTTGATTTTCATCCTTTTCATCTACCTTATTTAATGGTTTGCCTTCTTGACAAAAGATTGTCTTGTGCCAAGCTTGTACAATGCATGTTTCTTCGTTGATTACGTATGGAATTCAAGCATGCTTTTTTTGCAAATCTTCTTGATCTTTTAGGTAGAGTTTTATTTCACGACCTTGATACATCCTATATGCATTTTCTACAACCAAAGAAATTGTGAAATTTCTAGTCAATATACTATAAAACACATTTTAAGATGAACACAAAGGCACAGAATTAGAAACAAATTAAAAGATAATAAACTTAAATCCTTCATCTCAGAGGCCTAAAAATCAATAAGAACAACCAATTTAGTATTTTCATTTTATTCTGCTTGTAACCTTTTTTCTGTAATTTGGACTGTGATTGTGTTGTAAAGAAGTGAAGATCCACATGATGAAATGGTAATGAATTTATGGCCACGGGAAATTGAAATTTCGAGCAAAACTTATTTATATATAGATTTAAAAAGCCTTTTAGCTGCAGAAGATGATCTGAATTTCCATGTGTGGTTATTTGCTGACGAGATACGGGTATAATATTTTACATGAAATGAGTAAACCGTATTCAGTGCCCAAGTTATGATAGAGAAGAAAATATCACTAAAAGATATCATTATTTTTTTTATGCATACATGTCATTGCAGTACGTAAGCTCAGAAAATATTGGTATAAATAATTTGACTGTGAACTGTGTAATGGTTTTTTTACTTTTATGATGCTCTAATTTCGGTGTTTAAGAGATGTATTATTTAGAAACACAGATATTTTTAATTAGGTAGTATTTGCACTTTAAAACATTAATGTAAATATGGTGAAAATTTATACAATTATTACTGTGTTTAAGGAGGGATTCTTGTCTGGTTTCTGACTTAATGAAATACTCAAAGTATATTTCCTTACAGGTCTTATATATTTAGATGTTAAGGCTTTTAAAGATAATATTTTTCTTTCTTTTTCATAATTGTACAATTTAAGATAGTAATGGTAAACTGACTTTGAAATCTAGTAGGGACTATATTTTTGGCGGAATAGCGGCGTATGGAAATATATCCTTTTCTGCTTCTTAAAATTACTAGAGAACAATAAATTAAAAAAGGCATTTTAAAAACCGAAGGCTTAAGGAAAATTTTGTAGTAGCTGAAATTAATAATAATGAAATAAAGTTTTAAGATATATCAAATAAATTATGATTTTCTAGACAAATGGCAATCTTATAGCCTTTAAAAGCTAAGGACTCTAAGAACAGGTATGAGTAAAAAGTCAGTAAAAAACGTTTTTCTCTCTTCTTAAACGGTCAAAACTTTTAGTTTTTGTATCATTTTGTACCTTTACATGACTACTTCACCATATGTGAAAATAATAAAATTTTAAGTATACAAAGCATATTAAAATAGCTAGTATTCCTTAAAAAAAAAAGAAGAAAAATAGAAGAAATTCGGGTTAACCAATATCTATTTAGTTTAACTGTTTATCTCAATTTGATATTATCATCTGGTAGACCGTTTGTTGTATTAACTTTTTATGTAAAAAGAAAAAGATTAAATCTTTTAAAATAATAATAAGCATTAAATGATTGGCTACAATAATTTTTTATTCTTAATGAGAAGGAAAAGATAATGACATTGACATGACCTTGACCTTTTAACTAAATGGTCAAATATAATGTAATTTATGTCATCACCTAGTGATATTGTCTTCTTCAATCTGCGAAAATTTCATTAATTTTTAAATATGATAAACACGAGAAGAATCCCTCCTTAAGGTCAATACGAGGATTTAACCACCTAAGGATTACAATATTCACCCCGAAGGGAATACAGCTATTGTACTTTGAGGGTGGCTATATCGTCCAATGGACAGAAAAAAGCAACAATTCTTTTATCATATGATCCGATGATTAAATGATACAAACTCGTTAAGCAAACAATAATATCTTTCTTTTATTGTATATTTGTTGAAGTCCTAGCCAGTGAAAAATCATTGTTAAAATAAACATAACCAATTGTAATAATTTTATAGTTTCTCAATATTTTATTTGTTTATTTATTTTTTTATTATTTTTTTTTTTGCAATGTAGAAACAATAAATGTCAGGCACGTTACATCCATTTTAAAGGTAGGGGAAAGGAAGGACAAAATTGACAATTTACCTGAAAAAATCTTTGAAAAGTCAAAGAAAAAAGAGGATAATTCCCCAAACAGCAAAATCTCATTTTGTTGGGTGATGTGGGATAGGGTCCATGAACTTTGGAGGGTCAAAAAAGATGGAGGCATCGACCTTTAAATGAACATTTTCAAACTAAATTAAAAGTAAACAAGATGTGTTTGTTAAACACTGATGCCCCCGTACGGCAGCTTATGGCGAAGGTTAAAGTTTCTCAAATGCAAGTCAAAATCCAGGCAAAAAGATAAAAAAATGATGGTACCCAAAGAAAGAATATACCTGTGAAATTTGAAACACCTAGCTGCAAAAGGACCTAGCTGTTCAAAAGTTAGGGCGAAGGTTAAAGTTTTTTAAGTTTTTTAAAAGAAAGTAAAACGTCAAGGTCATAGTGGTTGGTGTCCAAAGGAAGGTCTTGTCACAAGGATTACATATGTGAAGTATGAAAGTCCTAGCTCCAACCATTCAAAAGTTATGGCCAAGGTTAAAGTTTTTCAAAAGTAGGTCAAACTCCAAGGTCAAAGGGTCAAAGTGGTTGGTATCTAAAGGAAGGTCTTGTCACAAGGATTACATATGTGAAGTATCAAATCCCTAGCATCCACCATTCAAAAGTTATGGCCAAGGTAAAAGTTTTTCAAAATAGGTCAAACTCCTAGGTCAAGGTCAACAGGTCAAAGTGGTTGGTATCCAAAAAGGTCTTGTCACAAGGATTACATATGTCAAGTATGAAAGCCCTAGCTCCAACCATTCAAAAGTTATGGCCAAGGTTATAGTTTTTCAAAAGTAGATCAAACTCCAAGGTCAAAGGGTCATAGTGGTTGATGTCCAAAGGAAGGTCTTGTCACAAGGATTACATATGTGAAGTATGAAAGTCCTAGCTCCAACCATTCAAAAGTTATGGCCAAGGTTAAAGTTTTTCAAAAGTAGATCAAACTCCAAGGTCAAGGTCAAAAGATCAAAATGGTTGGTATCCAAAGAAAGGCCTTGTCACCAAAAATATACATGTGAAGTTTGAAATCCCAAGCACCAACTGTTCAGAAGTTATGGCCAAGGTTAAAGTCTCATAAAATTTTGCAAAAGTGGGTCAAACTCCAAAGTCAATGTCAAAAGGTCAAATATGATGGTACCCAAAGAAAGGTCTTGTCACAAGGAATACACATGTGAAATATGAAAGTCATAGCTCCAACCAGTCAACAGTTATGGGCAAGGGTAAAGTTGACAACAGACAGACAGACAAACAGACAAACAGACAGACAGGACAAAAACAATATATCCCCGGGATCTTTCGATCCGGGAGCATAAAAATGTCTGAATGTTATGTTCATCTGACTAGAAGTCGAGTGTGGTTGAAATTGCTTTTCCTAATAAATTGGATCTCGGCCGCGACAGACCTAAGTCGATAAAAAATAGGTAGCAACTGTTCCTTCGCCATGCGCTCGGCACTTTGAAGTGAAAGTTGCGAGTCCTTCGGATGAGACCTTAAAAACCGAGGCCCCGTGTCACGGCAGGCGTTGGCACGATAAAGATCCCTCACTGCTCAATGGCCCTAAGTGCCGAGTAAAGGTCAAAATTTGAAGTCCTTCACCGGTTTATGGTGACGTCTCTATATGAGTGAAAAATTCTCGAATGGGACGTAAAACAATATACAATCAATCAATCAATCCTAATAATTTGTATCAGTATCGAAGATGTTCTCAAACTATCTTTAGTCCAATGTAGAAGAAATAAATCTTATGTTCACCTTGAAGGTCACGTGTAGGTTTAACGTATAACGTATTCCATATAATAACCAAGTAATTTTTCTACAATGTTCGATCTCAGCCAATCGGAGAGCTAAGAATTATTCAATCAGATAACAATATATAAATATTACATGTAGTTGAGTGCAACATTGAAAATTTTCACCCCAAGAAAACCATTGTCAACCGAGAGCACTCAACTACATGCAATATTTATTATATTATACTGAATGTTTTATGCAAATACATATTACAGTGAACCTAACGCGCATAAATTCTGCGCATTCAATATTTTTTTTTTTGAATATCACCCGTCGTCAAGCAATGTTGACTGTTGCTACGCTGGAGGGCGTGGCTTTATTATTCAGCGGGTAATAGTACTTTATAACAAATGTTTCTCGACGAATCAGATTCAACAAATTTACATGAAAGTATAATATATCTGAATATTTCTGTAAAAGTGTAGGGGAAGGGAATAATAAGCTAAAAAATATCAAAACTGTTGACTGCCCAAACTACCAAATAATACTGAATATTGCACTATTAATATTTAATGGTATGATCTTAATCACCCTTGAAAGTGACACTTGTAAAAGGATATATAATACTTATAAAGTTACATTTACTATTGATCAGTACATGGATTTCGGTTATATCAGCATAATAATTTTAACATGCACCACTGTGTGCATCATCAATAGAGTGCATTTCCTTTGGAAACTCGGAAGGTCATGTAGCTGAATGACAGGAAATAATTTTACAAAGCACATTTCCCAAATGGAAACAAACTAATAATGAATGAAGCTAGGCTCTTTATTAACACAGTCGTTTTAATCAAATCAGTTATGTATTCCATTATTTATCAGAAATGACAAGTTTAACACTGTCTTTTAATCAAATTGGGTATATATTTGATTAGATGTCAGAAATGAAATATTAATGTGTGACATTCATTAATTAATTGATTACCTAAAGAATTATTACGTTGTGTTTCATATAAAAAATCCATATGTCACTCTTTGCTTACCAATAATCTTTCTATAAAATTTTGAAAAGTTGAAAATTTCAGCATCAATAAATCAATTAATAAAAGATTTATATAATTTTTTGTTGAATATGATTCAAAGCGTGTACACTCTATTAAAAGAATACTTTTTAAGATTTTTTTTTTACTTTGAAGTATAACATATCAGACTTTGATTAAAAATTTACTTTGCTGATTAGTAAAACTCTGCATGATATTAACTGCTGATTCTCTTGAAAAAAACATTACTCTTACATAAATATCAAAAATGACATTCATCAAATCTCAAAAATATCACAAATACATCTATTCTTTTCAGTTTGAAATTCCAACTGACCTTTGATACAAGAAAAACAAGATCTTTTAAATTCTTATTGGATATATTGTCCCATAACTGATAGCCATAGATAACAGTTTGCTCTGTCAGTTTCAATATTTCACATGTTTCAAGTTTTACTTAAGCCTTTGTTTTTAATTTTTAGGCCATCAGTTATATTTTTGGTTCAATGTTGAAGCAGGACTGCTTATCCTGATTGCTGTGACTTTGGATGTTGTTTTACCGTTTGGTTTCCATAATATTGGAATTGTCGCACCAAAAACGAGGGATTCGACCTTTTTGGATCCTCTACTTGGGCCTTATAAAAAGGAAACAAATGAAATACCTGTTTGGAAAAAGTTTCACTTTTGGAAAAGAAAGAGAAATGATTTGTATGAAAATTCATTTCATGGAAAAGAATTTCAGTCGGATAATAAACCTAATACGTTTAATACTAATTCAGAGGTGTTATTCAACGAACCCAAACTCTATGATCCATTTGATCTGGAAGATTTTCCAAGTACACCAAATGATGATCTTAATCCAGATTTGGATTTTAATAACATGCTATCAGATGCACCATCCTCTGATATGGGTGATTCAGGTGTTTGGCACACCTATGAACAAGGAACAAATTCTGAAAACCTACTGTCCAACCTCCTTTTACAAGGCAGTGAAGACCAGTACAATACTGAAGGTCTCCAAACGAATGAGAAAAAGACGAGAAATCCTCTAACTCAGAGAGAAGGATATTTTCCATCCGGGGTACGTCTTTACTATTTATAGATCTGGCGAAGTACATTTTCACAACCAAAACACGTTGAAGTTACTTTTTTCGAAATAAGTTTCATATTCTTGTCTCTATTTAAACAATAAAAAAGTCGTCTTTTTGTTTATATAATACTTTCTATCAATTAATTCGAAGTGAACACAATAAAAATAAATTACACTCATTGCACGATTGTAGGGTCCAAGAGTCATCTTGGAGTAATATTTTGATATCTTCTATAAAAACACGACTACGTGTTCAGTATTTAAAACCACTGATGGAACTGATATCCAATACCCTTTCCGACCAGACTTGTTCACAGCGGAGTATTCAAATTTCTACTATTTGATGTGCACGTTTCCATATATATAGTGAGTCTGGAATATAAAGGGAGGAAATCCAGTGTTTCTAGTCTTTACACAACACATCATGTGGCATGTGGAAATCTTTAGAATTTTTTTCTTATCCAGGAGCACAAATGACATTGTTTTCAACATTTTATAAAATTTTGTGTACAGATCAAAAGACCAACACTTAACCAAATATAAAACAACAAACGCGGACTAAAGTACATTTAAAAAAGAAACCTATTTTGTACTTCTCTAATTAATATTAGATAGAAAAAATATAAACTCTGTTGTCTTGATAACTGATAGCTTTAAAGGTTATCCTAAACGTATGATTATGATCCAAATTTACATAATCATGATAAAAATAAGTTTGGTAATGTGAATTGCGAAAACAGTGTGTTATTTGATTAATACCATGTACATGAACTACTATATAGTACTCCAAGAGAGGATAGGAGTCGATGTACCGAATAAGTCCTGTATGTTTATCACAGCCAATCTAAAGTTACAATGATTATTTTACAGGTAAATTGTGCTAAAACCATTTCACTTACCGGAACGACCAAGTGTTTGCATGACGAAGATTGTAAAGATTGTTATGGTTTCGTTTTTCATTGTGAAAGCAATTTCTGCAAGCTTGGACCTCGGTCAAGTTGTTCTGAAGGCTGCGGTACGTAAAAAAAAAAACCCACTGCATTATGAGACCTGAAAAATTACAATTTAATTCTTCATGATTTTCTTACGAATATAATCTCGTATTATTAATTTAGCTGTTATATATGCAACGTTGTTAGTATTTGTTTTTATCAATAATATATATATTTTTAAATTTTTTAGCAGACTTGACAGACACATTTCCATCTTTTTCTCTAAAGAGATGAATACCTCAGAAAAAAGAACAACTTGGCAACTTGGAATGAAGGAAAAAATGTCAGATGGAACACAGAGAGGCTAATGACTTTCAAAATTTGAATATAATGTCTTTGTTTTGTATTTATTGTAGGAGCTCATTATATACTATTACTGAAAATAATAGGGTAAAATAAATATAATTACTTAAAACATCACAGGCTGTGAAATTTCGTCTCAATTGAACGCAAGTAAAACATGAGTACATCCGCCATTTGTGAAAATAAAGAATTAAGAACAATTTTTAAAGAAATTTCGGGTATCCCGATTGATGTACGTTTTCTTGAAATAAACATAATGTTTGCATTGTTTTTTTTTAATTCATCATTATTATTTAACACAATAATTGTATACATTATTTATTAACACATTGAGATGTCTTACCGCCTCTTTATTCATGCCACTATTTTGTGCCCTCGGAAAGAATGTGTGCTCTGTCACATACTTTCTTCTTGCATATATCCCTTGCACAATTAATGTTTTCATATTTATGTCCAATTTGAACCATGCAAAGATATATGCCATTAATGTCTATTGTTTTATGATCACCGCAATGTTTCAAATATCTAAAGCAGTTCAATTCATTTCATATTCATTATCTAAAGTCTTTGTTAAGTACATCTTATTTTAAATTTGTAAATGTTTTCATTGTTAACAATCTTTATTAAGGTTATCTGCCAGATCTCTCAATGGAATTACATGTATAAAGATTTTGATAATATATTTCAATTGTTCATGTTTAAGTTGCTTTAATGAATTTTAAGTATAAAAGCTGCCTGTAGAAGAAATGTAATATTCATAACTAAATATTAAATTAAAGATGGTGCACAAAAGTGAGGCTCTTATTAGATTTGTTTCATCAAAAATATATGTTAATGCAGTAGCTCTCACTCAAAGAATTTATGATTGGTCAGATGAAGGTATGATGACTATGTTGAACTATAAACCTAATCTTGATTGAACAAATCACCGTTGTTGTTTATGTCTCCGAACTGATTTGATACTCAAGAGATATTCTGAATACAATTCAATTTTAAACAGTGAACGTCTTCAGACAGATAAGTTGATGGAACAGGGTTTTCAAATATCTCGTTAAAGGTCAGCATTGTGCAAATTCTATGGTCATTATAATGACTCTGTTTGCAAATACAAACTATCGTTCTGTCATGCGTGATCTACATGTACGGATTACTCCGTTTAACTGATCAATATAGAGGGCTTAAGGGATGCATATTTCTTCTAGGCACCTGATCCCTCCTCTGGTTTTTACATGTTCACGTACCGTATTCTTTACTGGATTTACGAGATTTATCACTGTTTGTTACCTCACCTTTAACATTGTACTTGATATATCAGAAAAATTTATTATATTCATTTAATATTCAATAGTTCTGCTTTAGATCTTTTCTGCATAGTTGGTGCTTCAGCAATATTTTTAGACAACATAAAAAAACACAATTCTATTTCAAAATTAAAAGATTTTTTCTGTTTTTTAAAACAGCCTGAAAAACTTTTTAAATTGAACTTATTTTGCATTTATCCATTATGCAGAGAGAGAAACCACACAACATTTAATTTTTTTAATACAAAGAAATTTGCATACAACAAATTTAAAATACTTTGACACGGGAGATGAAAACATAGGATTTACCCAGCGGTAGGTAACACAGTAGGACTAGTTCCCAGCATATCCACAGTGATATCTGGAAAAAATGAAACAAAAAACATTTGTTTACAATTCCTTACACAATATTTACTATGCTAATGAATTAAAGCTACATAATATGATAGTATATCGTTTAATTTGCGAAGATCAATCTTCATGGAAATCAAAAATGGGTACTGGATCGTGGAAACATGATTTCTTGGGTGATGTATCTCGTATATATAGACAACACGTTGAGAAAGTTATCATTAATTCCTTGGTAAGGATAATTCATAGAATCCATGAACATTAATCCCCCTTGAGGAATAATGATTCCATTGTATTTTATAACAATAGGTCTGAACATCTATGAGAGGATATAATTATCAAAAACAATATCGTTACATTTTGAACTCCCCATTGAATTTTTTTTTTCAAAATTTGCCAGTTTTCAAATTTCATAGTCTTTGAACTTAAGTACTTATCAATATATATATATATTCTTCATTATGACTTTTTAAAGTCGTCGCGTTTTTTCCTCTGTAAGATAATTTATTCAAATGAAACGATTGATGTGCATGTTCCAATAATTTTCTTATCTTGGAGTTTATTTTTGACAAAATGTGTAGAATATAAGTATATTACACTTTCAAAAGGGATTAAGCTTAATTTCCTTGATATCTTTCTCAAACACTGAGGAAACTACCGGCTTTATTTATCACTACAACTACATGAATACTCACTCTTTTTCTTCAACTCTAAACAGCCTTCTTGATTACAATCGTTGCCAAAACAACAGGCTGAGCAGACGACAAGACCCTGATTTTCAGCGCTGTTGACTCGTTTGTTCAAGGCTCCTATAATGTGGCCATCCACGTTATTCTGCAAAGCAGCTGCACATATCTGAAAATGAAAAGTTCTATAAATAAAAAACAAAACAAAACTTTTGTTTCAAAATTAAATTACATACATTTTATAACAATGTTCATATTTGTTTTCTTACACAAAACAAAGAGCGTCCAATATTATTTATTATTTTGTTATCTTTGACATTCCTTTGAAATGTGATACACTGTACTAAATACACAATAAGTCACCGTTACATTATAAATGAAAAAAAAAATCCTCATGTTCTTACATGTCTCTCTTCACAGAAATATCTGTACAGCACATCCCCTCCAACAATGTGGATTGCTGTTCCACAAACCTGAATAAATATGTCTCAAATATAATGGAAAACATGTACGTCCGGTATGAATATATTTATACTTATCTTTTTTCTTGTTCCATGTGCTTCATTTTGAACATATTTTCGATAATTTATTCCACTACAGTATCATTTACATAGATGTGAAAATATAACAGCAGATAAAATTACCGTAGTCGGTAATGGGAACTTTAAAGAAATACCTGTGTATCTTGACACAATTGGCGATTTGTGCAGCCTCCTTTCGTTCTCACCAAATCATCACAAACTAAACATCCAGCTTTTGTTACCCCCTCTAAAAACCCAAACAATTCATTAATTCCCATTGTGCTTCCTGTATTGAGAGAATAAAACTGAGGCATTTCTCGTGGTTTCTCTCTCTCTCTCTCTCTCTCTCTCTCTGGTTTCTTGGTATCTTTGTAGGTCCTCAACTTTAAAATGGCTCAAAAAAATTTTGATCAAGAGAGACGGAGCCTACATGTTTTACATAAAAGTTAAGTTTTGACCATACTGTGCGACTTCTGATTATGAAAAAAGTTATTTGGGCGAGGTGAAGGTTAAAGAAACTGGAAGTGCAAACTTCTTGTTTGGTCTAAATACTTTATGATAAAAATATGTCAGATACCCTTCCTGGCACAAAAACAAAATAAATAAATAAATAAATTAATTAATTAAAAATGTTACAATCACAAAGTTTTCGTGTGTCCCGAACAAAAGACATTTGAACACGAATGTATCCTTCACATCTGAAAGAGAACATTCAAGTTTGCTAAACAAATTTAAAAAAAAAGTCATTCAGGTTAACTTTTTGATTAGGTTTTAAAAGATACGTGTAATATTTACGCAAGTTCAGACAGTTTCAAGTTGACCAAATCTTTCTCATCATCCATGCAATTTAGTCTTAAAGTTGATTTAAATTCCTTTAATGAATTTTGTTTAACTTTTTACTCCCCCACTTCTGAGAACAGATATTAGGGATTAATTGTATTTGTATTTTCTTTCTGTTTTAATGTTATCTTGTCTGTGTTTCTTCATCAATCCATAAAATGAATTTTTTTTGTATTAGAAGTTCTACTCTATGCTGACAGAAGAATTGAAAGATATTGCAAAATAACAAGTAATCCAGAAATTGCAAAACTTTGGACCAAAATATGAGAGTTTCCTGATCGATCTGGGCTTCTAACAATGCAGAAAAAAGAAGGACGCAATAAGCTTTTGAATAATATAACATGACCATAAATACAAGTAACTGGAATAAATCAAAGCTATTAATTTAGCTCTAGAAATATTGGCGAAAAGTTTAATATACGTAGTTTTGATGATGATATTATTTGTAGAAGGTTCAGCTTTCCAAAACGATGTAAATTCAACAAATGTTTGACTTACTTTCACCACACAGATTAGCGTTACAAGGTCCGTGTTCTGTGGTTGGTGCCGAGTTACAGCACTCTACACAGTTAGTGTAGTCACTTCTTTTCCGTCCGCTACCCAAGCTTTGCATAAGTGCACACACCTTTCGTGAAGAGGAGAGACTGAATTAATATATTTTCAGTGTATACATATATTGAATACAAGGAAAATTTCGGCTCCGTTCTGTTTTGCCCCTTTCACCGTACACACAAGTGGGCGAACTTAGGACTAGGCGAGTTCAGACAGTATAATTTCTTAAACAGAACTTTGACCGGGCGAAAAATGAGGCAAAATTGCTTGCAAGTGTGAAAGGGTAAAAATAACCTGTTTACAGTAAAATCTTCTTCTAAATTATGGAGGAAGGATTGTTTTGTAAAGGCTTGTCATTTTAAGAAAGAACAAGGAATTTTTTAGCAGAAAGGATACTATGTACATGTATGAAAGTAGATATAATTATATTCAATATACTATTGAACAACATTACAAAACACTTACTTCTAGCAATGGTATTACATACATGTATACTAGTCTAGGTAAGTATAATAAACAATAAAACAATATTTCAATATCCCTCAAGTAATTTGGAAATGTCCACAAACCGAGTTTGATCGACATCCAGCAACATATGCCGTTTTAAGTTCCTGTGTGGTGATTTTCTCTAAATAGCATTCCTGTAAATAAAAGAGCCATAAATTAAATCAAGGACTGTTAAATATGTCTAAATTTGATTCTCTTTATGTGTACTTTAAGCGCTCAATTCATGTAGCGGAAAGTTTACTTTTTTTAACTAATTTAAATTTGCCTTTCAATCTTCAAGTTTTTTCTTAAAATAAATTTATACATACGAACTATCCCAAGAGAATTATGCAAGTAAATTCTTTGACTGAATCAATTCCAAAGTACACGCACATGTACAGATATTGTTGATTTTTTAATAATAAATGTTCATTAATAATGAAGTTATAACTAGTGCAAGGTTTAGAATTCTACACACTCACAATGATAGCAAAGTTGTAGTCTTTTTGCTCAGTTAATCCACTTCCTCTGAGAACGTGATTACGTGATTATTTGCATTGAAATTCAATGCTTAGAAAAATGCTTCTTTTGCCCCCCCCCCTTTTTAAAAAACTTTACTTCTACTATTATTCATACAGTAAAGATATACTTTAATAAAGTTCAAAATTATTATTGAAAAGGCTTCTGGTTGATGCAAGTAAAACAAAATGATTACTTCATTCCAGGAATTCCTATGCAAAATTTTCATGTTATGTGTTTAGGCTTTTAAGTTTGCATTTTGGGACCCATATTTTATGCTATATCTTTCATTATTAAGTAATATTAATAAAAAATTTAAGTTTTTTGACAAATCTTCAAAATTAAAAATGAAGAATCGTTTTAAAATTAGACCAAGCGTGATACCAGAAGACGGAAACGTGAAAGATCTAATTGTAATTAGATTGAAAAGCGACAGACGCTTGCATTCATTAAAAAATTCCACAGGGGCGTAGCTTGACTTTAAATTCTAGTGAGGCAAAACCATACATGCACAATAGCAGCAAGAAGTCTGGGGCTGCCTTAAGCCCCCAACAGATTCCGGGTAGTGTCACTCGAGCGGTCACTCCGATAGAAAATGAGTTGGGGGTTTTAAAATGCAATGAAATTTCATTTGTTGTACTGGTTTCTTTATTTAAGACTTCAGCATGATACTACATATTTAAAAGAATATGAAAGAGTTTGTATGTTTACTAAACTTTTTGAAACATTTAAAGGTGAAAGCGCATCTTATTAAACTTTGCTATTATTTCTTTAAAACTTCAATTCAACATTATAGAACTGCTTAAAATGTTAAAAGAAATGCCATTAGTTGTACGTATTATCTGTAGTGTATTGTTGATTATGGAAAGGGGTGGTGGTGGTGAAAAATCTAGTGAGGCAGTTGCCTCATTGCCACAATGGAAGCTACGGCCCTGTTCCAACTATACGTACTAAGCTTTAAATTTATAAGAATGGAATTGAATGTTTACAAAACATGCATAAAATAATTCGTGTGCATTCTTTTTGATTTCCTTTTATTTCTTTGACACACACAGTAACACTTTTGAAGTTTTATTTATAGAATAATATTACCTGATTGAGCAGTGCTTGAAAATTTCAGGGTAAAAACGGAAAAGTGCACCGTTTCCAAAAACGCTATTTGAAACACCCTCACAATCTCATATATGTCAAATGAGAATTTTTAAAAGAAGATTCTCTGTAAAAAATAATCCAGCATAAACAATACATTAATTATTCTGAGTTACCTCGGCATCTGAACACTCAATAATGTTTGTCGAACAATCGCTGATGTTGGCTGCTCTGTTGCAGTACATACATTTTTGACCAGCTTTTGAAAATCCAACTTTAGAAAAAAGAAAATGTGAAATAGAGAGAAAACAAATAATGAACTGAACATTGCATTTTATTTTTGTGTCTTACATTGGATAAAATGTAAAAAAAAAAAAAAAATCAAAACTAGATCATACAGCACAGAAATGATATCATCCATTGTACTCAGTAAATCAGATAAATCCTGGTAATGCAAATTAATGTTTGTTAAATATTTAAGCCAATTCTTTTGTCTCAAAACTGTAATCTATTTTGAATTAGAATATTTTGAAATCAGAATGAACATGATTGTATTAAGAATTTTATGATTAGTCACTAGGAAGGTAAGCAGATCCTGAAAAATTACCAACAATCTAATTTGGAGAGAAATCTCCACATTTCTTTTTTCATAAATTGAATTCCTAATCCATGTTATTTTCATGCAAGATGGTTCCAGATTTATTTAAATCATCAGCTTTGAAAAATATTTCAGACTTCTGCCACACTTCCATCAATGGTCATATCAGCCTTCATTTTATCCAGAAGTATTCGATGTATTTTTTTTTTTATTAATCTTACCTGAACACAGGACTATTAATGCTACAACTAAGACCCCTGTAGTTCCTATGATGAAAATAAAGATCTTTCTTATATTGTTTTTCAATTAATTGAAATCGAATTCTTATTCAATTAAATATTTAAAATAAAATCTTACCGATTTCAGGCTTCATAATAACGTTTATCTTCAAGCTAAATTTCTATTATGAAATTGTAATCCTCTCTACAAGTGTATATAAAGACCTCTATAGTTAAAATTCAAGGTTTTCCTTAGACGTTACGAGTATGTCCTATCCTCCAAGTATACTGTATCTAAATCCCAGATAACGTTATGACGCTATCAGGGGAAATAATCCTGTATCAACAGGTCCAAACATGAACAAGGACATGATAATTACTATATTACATCTTACTTACCTGGCTATGAACTTCATCAAGAAAGGTCACTTGTCACTGTTTGGTTGACATTGACAAAAACAAAAAGAAGACCATGGGCAACAACACACACCTTAGTTAACTTAACCCTGTTGTTCTTTTAGTGAAGTATGGAGATAACGAACAATAATCAAACTCGAAAGTCCATTGAAACAATACAGATAGGGAGCAGAGCAAACACAGACCTCTAAAAAAAATATCAGAAGTGGGAAGTAGGTGCCATGGAGGAGTAAGTTACCCCTGACGACCGGTCACACCAGCCGTGTGCACATTGTCATGATTAGTCAAACGGAAAAATCCGTAGACAATTTAGTGTTTAAATAATGGCCTAACAATTAGTATGAAAAAACGTCAGATACCATTCGACATAACAATAGTTTTTGATGACAAAATCATTGTATCGAACTTTCATTCATAGAACTTTCAATCTTTTTTCTGAATTTCCACGTAAAGCTTAAACTGGAATTTGAGAAGCTGATAAGCTGAATTTTGAAGATTCAATTTTTTTCCGATTAATTATGGAAGCCTGAAATAGGACGGGCTAAGTGTTCATTTTAAAACAAATAAAAAGACAAAGATTATAATCTAATGAATCTAAAATATAATTTAAAACTACCGTGAAAAGCTCAAAAAGTATGATAATTGACTGAGATGCATTCAGAATCGTAATCCTGTTTATAACAGGACACAGTTAGAATCCTCGGGAATTCCGAAAGTTATTCCTATCACATCAAAGCTTTATTTGTGAACGGTTCATAATTCGTTTGGAGTTTAGCGGGAAACATTCATTCAGCAAATGTTTAAAATATTTTCTTAAATCTAACTTTGCTAGGTATATTGACTGAACAAAACAACTCAACAATACGCAATCTCTCGGATACAAATGAAAATTATCGCATACAATTAAGATAATATGTTTACGGTGTGACCGTTGGGGCGAGCGCAGTTGTACCATCAAAAACCTATACACATCTTACACTTCTAACGTTGATGGATCCGCCTCTTCAAACGTCAAACCGCACGAGACACAGTCAAGACTGTGACGTCACAAGACGTCGGAATTTACGGAGACAGCCGAGCGTCTGGTTGAACGAGACTAAAGATCTTGTGCAATAATAAATGAAAAACATGTACAGTGTACGTTGTAGAGTAGATGTAATTATTTTTTATTTCTTTTAAGCCCTCTGCAAAGAAAGAAAAGTAAACGTATCTCTCGGTAATGAATAATTGTCCTTGGTCTTTTGAATGTTTTGTAAGAATTTCGCATGGAACCCTGGTAGCGAAGGAATACGCGACTTCCGAGATACGTTTCCGACCCGATTTTTACATCACGCAAAAGTGAAATGTAGGGCATGTTTACTTCCGTTTTCATCGTAAACGATGGCGTCATTTAGCATTTCTACTGAACGCTAGGGGGCGGCAAAGAACGATAACTCTAAATCAGCGGAAGTTGTGATTTGTGGAGTGGAGTCCGTGCAATCAGATACGCGCCACACAGTCTTTCGATATATCTCGACGCAGGACATTACCTGGGAAGTGACATTGTGTAGGTAAGTAAAATTAAACATGTATAGGTATTTGGTTTGATTATTTTATTAAGTTTATGCTACTTACTTGATTAATTTGAAAGAAAATAGAATTTAAAAACATATGACTGAAATGTAGAATACAAAAAAATATTTTTTTGCACAGGTATTTCTGCTTCTTGCAAGTTCTATCATTGATTAATAGATGGGGAAATATGAAAAAAATATATATGAAAAATCACAAGTGATATAAATGAAGCAATTTTTGTCAATCATTTTTAAATATATTGAAGCGGTATTTTGTTCTTTTAATTACGTCCCTTTTCAATCAGCTGTTTATAGTTTGTTTCTATATTATATCATCATGGGTAAGCCCACATAAGGTATGTAGAGTTCTTTAATAATTATAATATTTGTATTTACATGTTTTCTTTTACTTATAAATAAATATTTATAGTAATGATAATTTATTTCACTATTTATGATGATGATTACAGTATAACAATCACAGTTATAATAATTGAAATTAATAAAGATAAGTTAATATATACTGGATGTATCGTAATAAAGTAATATTATTTTAACTTTATGCATCAGTTTAATTTTTTTTTTTTTTTTTTTTTGGTTTTATTTTTTGTAGAGAAGACATAATTCCAGAATCAAATCCAGTACCATATATGCAGAAAATAGGTACTTATCCTTTTCCTAATTTTGTGTGTGTGTTTTGTGCACAAATTTCATTGGAAAGAAAAATATTCTCTGTTATCTGCACTGCTATTGCCTTATCTTAGCGTGTAAGTTTCCCATGGTATATAATAGAGTATGTTATAAGGCCTATAAAAAATTTGATTCCGCTTTCAGTTTGAAAAAAGTAGGATAGGTAGACCAGTATGTTTTTGTTTGTGTAGCTTTATAGACAAAAATAAGGGTCAGTGCTATAAGTGGAAACAAACCTTTATTTTCTTTTTTGTAAGCCTCAATACATGTATAAAATATTTTCTTCTGTTTTAAATACAGAAAAATACATGCATATATACGTTAAGACATGGAAATTTATGCTTATCATTTACAGCATATATGGTAAATATTTCGTTATAGTTGTGAAACTCACCAACATGATAAATAATTCTGACATTCAGAACATTTTTCAAAAGGTGCAAGGAGATTCCAGAGCATTTCATGAAGAAATTTGTAAAGTGCTTCAAATAGAAAAGGACCTTGTAAATCCCATAAGTTTATTTACAAAAGCAAAACGAACTTTAAATGAAATTAAAAGACTTAAGAAATTTCCAAATAAGGACAAGTATTTAGAAAAATTAAAGTTAGAATTCATTTTGCCTTCTATGAAACAAAAACAAGTTGACAGTGTACAAAAAGAAAATAAAAGACAAAAAACTGAACACGATTCCTGTGCTGATTGTGAGCATTTGCGAAAAGAAAACAAAAAAGTAAAAAAAAGGCTAAAAAATATCAAAGTACATGTCCTGAATCAGAAGTTAAAGAGAAATCAACGCACTATTCAAAGATTACAGGCCACAATCAGCAGCCTCCGTATAAAATTTAAAGAGTCTGTGTCATCCAGAGAAAAAAATAAACAAAATAAAAATTTTACTACTGTTGGTACCCAATGTAACACGATAAAAACGGATATAAATGCCTTAAGAGAAGAAATTGAAAACTTAAAATCATCTCTGGAAGATAATGTCTATGAACATGATGAAGAAAATGAAAATCAGAAAATATTAAATTTCAGAAACACTGAATGTAGAGGCAATCCGTACCATTTCAAATTAAGAAAAATTTTATATGAATTTAGAAGTAGAAATATTCCTTCTCAACATATTAATCCCATTATTGAAGAAGTGTTAGGTCTAGTGGATGTTTGTGTAGAGGAGTTGCCACATCCATCAACTGTTGCAAAATTAAGTAGTGAGCTAGGTATTATTAGTCGTGCTCATATTTGTTCGGAAGTAAAAGACTTAAATAATTTAACAATTCACAGAGATGCAACAACAAAGAAAGGAAAACATTATTATGGAGTGGAAGTTTCCACAAATGAAAAAACTTTTACAGCTGGGTTGAGGGAGGTTGTAGATGGCAAAGCAGAAACATATGTTAGTTGTTTGAAAGAAATTTTTAATGATACATGTACTGACTCAGAAGACCCCAATTTTAATATTATGAAAAATGTGAGTAATTTTATGACAGATAGAAGTGCTACAGAGCAAAAAGTGAATAACATTTTGGAGGTTGAAAAAAAGTGCCATTCAAATCATGACTGTGCTATAAATTCTTTTAAATGTTCTGTGCATCCTCTTTTGCAATTTTCGGATGTTTGCCTGAAAGAAATATCTAAACTAGAAAAAGATCATAAAATAAAATTTGATACAAATAATAATGAGTGTGCAACCATGTATTTATTGCGTTGTGTTTCGAAATTGTTTCACAAAGATGGATGTGGTGACCCCTTACTTGCTGCAACATATTTGAAAGACAAGTTGAATATTTCAAGGGTACCAATTATGAAGTTTAGGGGAAACAGATTCAATACTTTGTTTTACAATTCAGCAGGAACATTTTATCTTCATGAACATATTTTAACATACCTAAAAGAATCAAAGAGTTCTTTAAATTATATTCATACTTACATTTGTACAGCTCTTGCAGATAACAGTATTTTATGTATTTTACGTGCACTAGGAATTCTAAATGTACTTTTTACACAACCTTATTGGACTTGTGCAGAAGTTTCTACTTCTGCAATTGAAATGGGAAGTGTGTATAGAAGAGTTGTTCATTTTCTTGAAACCTGTATTGAAAATCCTCAATTGCTTTTACACAACAAAATACGATTGTTCTGTGGTCCAACTCTTTATGATGAAGTGTCATCATATCTTTTTTTACCAACTGCAAATGATGTTGGAACTTGTCATGTTTTAGAATGTCTTTGTGTTGTTTTAAAAGAAAAATGTGAGCAGCTTTTTAAGGATTTTTTAAATGGGGGTAAATTTTATGACCCACCCAAAGATGTTCTTTTAAATAGCCAGTCATGTCCTCCAAACAATATAAATGTAGAAAGGCTTATGTCAAAATTAGATTCTAACATTGCAAAAGCTCCTACTTACAATATTAATACAATGGAGAGCATTATCATGTTTAAAAATAATAAAACATCTGAATGGTTGAAATCAAAATCTGAATCAGAACAATGT